GTATTTAGAAGCTACCTGTAATAACCAAAGAGGGGAAACCAACATTGTCCAGTGACAGAGAACTGATTTAAAAAAAATTAAAATATACCCATTTAATGGGGTTCTATGCAACCAAAGAAAAAAATGGGGGCAATTCTGTAGACAGGGAAACAGAATAAACTGCTGAATGTGCATAACATTGTATACGATATACTATAATCTGTGTTTCATATATAGCAGGCCATCCAGAAGAATAAATAAGAAACTGATAGCAGAGGTTGGATGCAAGGAAGAAAAATGAATGGTTGAAAGAAAATTTTTTTACCCTTTTCGACCTTCTGATTTTTGTACAACATGCATACATTACCTGTTTAAGAATAAAACATTACAATGTATTTGCACATTTCTCTGAGGATACTGAACATAATGTATAATTTAATCTTTGACTACTAAGAGCCATTGTCATAAGTTATATTGAACAATAAAGCTCTAAGAGTCTACTTGGCACACAGGGTTGTTTTCATCCACACTAAATGATCCCAGGCTCCTGTGATATGAGTTAGTGTCGTTTTTAATTTTTTTGACTTCTCCCAGCTACTTCTCACTACCATCAACCTTCTTCCTCTGGTTAACTCAAACTTCTTTTAAATGGTTGTTTTAGTTGTTGTGGGCTAAGAAACAAGGCACACGATGCTAATACTGTATAGAGGAAAACCTCCTCTTTGACAGCTTGAGGAAGCCTCTCATAATTGGTGAGTTTTAGAGATTAAACTTCATAATAACTACTTGACTACTCAAGATTTTTACACATTCTTGGTTCCATGTAACTGAATAAAAACAGACAAGGCATTATTTTAAGTCATTATGGGAGGTCCTATGATTTAATTAACGCTATATTATTAAGTACGTATCTGAAATTTTTTCAAAATTGCTCTCATTCATTAATTCAAAAAATATTTTTGAGCATCTAGTGTGCACCAGGGAACGTTTGAGGTACTAGGGAACAGCAATGAACAACAGAGACAATGGCCAAAGTCCCTCAGAATTTACACTCTAACTGGACAGACAGGCAGCAGGCAGAGATCAAGTGGTAAGTAGTGTAACAAGAAAAGGGGAAATGTGACGGAGCACTTAGGACAGGGCAGCAGCATAGACAGGATACCTATCAGTCAGCACCTGATCAGAGAACACTAGGGTATCACTCAGACACACACACACACACACACACACACACACACACACACACACAATGTGCACACATGCCATTTTAATATATAAAATAATACATAAAATAAGGGACTATAGGAGGCTGTTCTTTTGTGTCAGCAGGTGGGAAAGGAAGATGGGTGTGAGATGGGGGAAGCGAAAATATACTGGGACCTGGGGCGCCTGGGTGGCTCAGTGGGTTAAAGCCTCTGCCTTCGGCTCAGGTCATGATCCCAGGATCCTGGGATCGAGCCCCGCATCGGGCTCTCTGCTCAGCGGGCAGCCTGCTTCCCCCTCCCCCTCTGCCTGCCTCTCTGCCTACTTGTGATCTCTGTCTGCAAATAAATAAATAAAATCTTAAAAAAAAAAAACAAAACCCATACTGGGACCTGCCAAGATGAGAGAACCTGTGGGGATTCATGCCAGTCTCTCACTGCCTCCAAGCCTCCAACTCAATGAGGGGGCTGTGCGGCACAACCTGGCACCTTCAGTCAGAGAGTGAAACACACCTGGCTGAGGAGAAAATAAAGGAGGTGATCCAGTAGGAGCTGCCGTTCCTGTGTGCCCGGTTGTTGGCCCACAGACCGAAAAGATAAGCCAGCTGATAAGCAATGATGTGGGTGAGCGGCAACAATGTATGGTCTGCTTGGACCTTTCGATTATAAAAAGAATCTGGATCTGGCTACTTAACTTCTGCTTTCTAAAGGTCATACCGCACATCTCTCGTGACCCACACTATCCTAGAATTATGCAGGGAGAATTAAGAGGAACGTATCTCCAGCTTAGCCACAGAGGCACTAGGTAAAGCCACTACAGATGGTCAGAGGTCTCTGAAAGGTATTTGAGCTGAGAACCTGGGGTGAGGAGGATTCAGTCGCACAACCGCGCCAAGATGTGGAAGAGAGCATTTCAGGCAGAAGAAACAGCTACTGCAAAGCCCTGAGGCAGTGATATAAATAAGGTATTTTTTAATGATGAGGCTGGAGTATGGTGAGAGGGAGAGTGGTATGAAATGAGATCAGAGATAGGGGTAGGGAACAGATCACCTGGGGCCTTGGAGAACACGGAAACGAGCATGGATGACTTTTTTCTAAGTGCAATGGAAAGCAAATGGAGAGTTTTTAACAAGCCAGTTTGATCTGACTTATATTTTTAAAAAACTTTATTTTAAAATAATTTCAAACTTCTAAAGAGGCATAAGACTAGCATTGAGAATTCCATTATCCAACTAATTTCCCTTCCCTTTGCAGAGAATGGACTTTGGTGGGCAGGGCCACTCCTCCCTAGGACTCCTCCATCTCCTGGTGTCCTATGCGAACAACACTCCCAGAGGACAACAGGCATGATGCCATGGGGTTGTGTGGAAAAGGCTGCCCAAGGGCGGAAGCAGGAATATTCCTTCGAGAACTTCTGCAAGGAGTTCAGGCTACTGTGCTTCCACAGTAGTTTTCAGATTTCACAGGAAAACTGATCTTGTTACTTGTCTCAATTCTCGAATTCATGTTGGTCCAAAAACCAGTATTACCTCTTAGATCTAGTGTCAGATTGATTGGTTACTGCATTACTTCTCAAAACCAAACAGAAAACCTCAAAGATTTGATACCAGTGAAGCTATTCAAAGAGAATGTTATTCAAATAATTCCAGAGACTAGGCAGAGTCTCCTAAGGGAAACAGGCAGAAGGGCCACCGTTCATGTTACTGTATACGTTCCAGTCTCTACATTACAGTTGGCCTTACGCTTACAGATCTTCTTGTTTCAACAGACTTGGCTTACAAGTTCAGACCACAGAAAACCTTCCTAAAACAAACTCTTCTGTCTAGATTCTCTCCCTCTGGCTGAAAGCCAAGATTCAAATATTGAAATGTGCTGAGGTCCACACTTACAGATAGATATGCAAGCTCATTTTTTACTTTAGTACAATTCCTTAAAGTCAACAGCTAAAATTAACTACAGATGGCCATGCATTTTCACTAAAAAACATGCACAGCTAATAGGTGCTCATTAAGTCATGAGGGTAAAAAGAAGAAAAGTGAAAGAGAAGTCTGGTGCTTTAGAGAAATCATTTTTTCTTATATTCAGGTAAAGGGGAGCTCTGCTAGCACAGCAGGGCTCAGTGACAAGAGGAAGTGCTCGACGCACAGTAGATATTCAGTTAAGTTGGAGCTAATATTATTACATGTGTCAATAAAGGTAAATATTCTCTACACCTTCCTAAGAGAAGAAACAAAGTGTTTCTGAAAAAAAGAAAAGAAAAAGAGCTCTGGACACAACCATTCATCTTTTTTAAGAAAAAATATAAAAATATATTTTAAAAAAGCATGAACTGACAGAACAAAAAGTAGGAAAGTTTCGAACTTTAATGAGAGTTTGCAGTATGTGCTTATCCCTCACGCTCCGTGCCGACAGAGCTCCACGTAAACGTTCAGCAAGAGAAGAGCGCACGCTGTGCCACAACTTACGGACTATAAATTTTCAGCTCTGATTACTAAATTTATTAACAATGTTTTCTATGTTTTATGTTCATTATTAACAATCATTTTCCTTCATTTAACAATGGCTCTTGAATAACAAAATAAATTATCAACAAATTCAACCATAAATTAAAAAATAATAAAGTAAAAAAAAAAAAAGACCTCACAGAGTTTCATATATGCAAGACCAACAACACATCTCCTGTATTTGGATTACAGTTTCTATGTTCTTTGTGTAAGGTAACAGAAAAATTGTTCCCTATTTCTACTGGTGCCAAGTTCACAAAATTTATGAAAAGGTTTCCCCATCTTTGTTCTGCTTAACTCACTGCACCTCGCTGAACACACAGGCAGTACCTGGGGTTATGAGTGAGATGTGGGAAAAGGAAAGGTCATGATCACACAGCAGATCATGTAAACCTAAAATATACCTCAGACTTCCTAGAGATAACCTGTAGCCCTCCTTTATTAAATAATTTACAAAGACCCGTTAGAAGGATGATTTCATGAGCAGGCTGACCTCTGTCACTCTGTCAGTTTGCTACTCATGAACATATATATTTTGCCTTTAAATGAGACAGAATACTGTTCATTTCCACTGAGACTAGGTGTAAGGTAAGAACAAAGACGAAGCCATAAGTACTTAAAAGTTATACTGTGTTATTTTAACTATTTCATTAAAGACTTTAATTACCAGGTCAGTGCACCATTCCTTGCTTAAAAATGTAATACCTTTGGAAGTAGATAAAAAAATATTAAAAAAAAAATAAGCTAGATGTAAAAATGAAAAGGCCTGAACAGCATGACACGCAGAGTAGTTTCCAGTCAGTGACTACCAACGGGAATACTCATTCTATACAGCGGGTACTGACAACCGTTTAGCAATTCTTTAAACAGGCACTTGATAGAGTATTTTGTCGCTAGCATACTCAATACTGGGGCATCACATACACAAAAAAATATGGCTTTATTACAAAGGATTCAAGATGGCTACTACTTAGAATCCAATGCCAACACGGATTAGAACAAATCCAGTGAGTATTTTGTTTTTCAATTATTCATAGAAAATTTAATCCTGATTAAGTATCCTTGGGCAGGAATTCATGGGTAGTTGATGACTGAAACCAACATTTATGTGAAATGCTTTTGTTAATTTAATCTGTGTATACGGCTTAATTATGATTGGGGATTCAATGTAAGAGAAATGAATTATATCAGGATTAGAATTTTAGTACCATATCACATAGTATGTTTTTCTTCTTTCTTTTTAAACACGTAACCCTGCTTGTCCCTTCACCTAAGTGCTCAGATATTAAAACTCTTTATAAGGAACAGCCAATAGTAATGTATCTAAGCTTTATTTTTCATAAATTGTATGTCAAAAACCTTTTGCTAATCAAGCCAAAAAGTGATAGAAGATAGAGAAGAACCCTACACACAAATAAAGAAAAACTTACTCGTTTAGCTATAAATACATTTTATATTCACATTCTGAAGTAATTTCATTTTTAATTCCTTTAAACTCCAATATGAAATGCATTTTCCTTAAAGCATAAAAAGAAGCAGTTTTTAACCAGTGCATTACACTGATTTTGTCATTGGAGTTAGTTTAGATATGTACAAGCAAGTAATCATTTAACTGATTACTTTGCATAAGACTATCAAACCTGAGTTACCTACTGATACAAGATGAAGCATTACAAGTGGTGAATCTTTTACCAAATATCATGTAATTCTTTTTCATCTTAATTTCCACAGAGAAATTGCATAAGTCACCTTAGAACAACACACTTTCTTGAAAGTTTATTAAGTGTATTTCAAAACATTTCATTTATTACCTTTTTACCTTTGAAGAAGTTTGCTACTGCTTAAATGCAGCTGTATAAATATCATGCTCTGCCTTCTGGGTTCAGTTTTTCATACCAAAAGTATGAAAAAAAAAAGTCACTGTATTTGGATCCTTATTGCACTCTGAAATCAATTCACTTTTCCTTTAAAGAAAATCAAGTATCAGAAGTGAGGCCGACTTTTGTGTCCAGATGATATGGTCAGTGGTAGTGTTACTGAAGAAAGTGAAGAAACTTCCCAGTATAGACTGTGGGACAGAAAGAGTCTGTAGAGAATAACCATGGAAACAGACTGGCAAAGGATAACACCTATTGTAACAACCTGGAAAGAAAAGAAAGGGAATGCTTTGACTGCGTGCGGAAACAGACAAATTACATTCAATTTATCATGAACCTATATCGGTCCCACTTACATACGGAACATATATACACATACCCTGCTCTGTCCTCTGTCTTTAACACGGGCATGTTTTATCAAAGCAACTTTCAGTAAGAAACTACGACTAACATTCAGAACTGTCATCGTTCAAAGGCAAAATTTACTGAACAGTTAGTTTACAGACTCCAAAATAAGACACATTCAGTTTGCTAAAGCATTCTCCCCTCAGGGTGCACACACTACACAAGGTGGTAAGAAAAACCAGGTTCGGGGCTAATTTGGTAGGAGGAGTAGAGCATGCCTCACCTGAATCCTGAAGAGTATTCTAAAAGCTCTCACAAAAATTCTCAAGTGGCTTCTTCATTTCTGTAGACTACCTCCCTACCTGTTTACCCTTTGTGAACACCTCAGGCCCGAGAGCCATCTGTGCGTTCAAGGCCACATTGCACTGCTTGTGAGTGGTGGCTGGCAGAGCACGATGAGATGACGGAGCTATTGACCTAAGAAGGCGGCAGCTACACAATCAGGTGTGGCACCCTTGCGCACGGCACTCTGGTCTGCGTCTGGTGCAGCCACTAGGCTGACTTCTCACAAATCTATCTTGGTTTTTAACCACTGTGTTGTAAAAAATTTTGATCAATTGTTCTTAACAAAGATGGATCATGAACAAATTTATAAAACAATGTTACAAAATAGGCTGAGATAATAAAAATGATTCTCATTATTTTTTAATTAACTAAAATTGAATGTTTTTCTTTCAAAGTTTTTATTTATATACTCACCAGTTCAATTATCTTGTTTCAAAGAACTCAGAAAACCTGATAAGCGGATAAATAGGGCTTTTTCACTTTAATAATTTGTTAATAAAGACAATAAAAAACTATTGGGATCAGGAGTATTACTTACCTTATCTCTTTGGTAGTCACTAAAAATGACAGAAATACATGCAAGACCTGGATGGCATAAAAACCATAAGATACAGCCCTGAAACAAATGACAAATAAGTAAAATGAGTACAGCTGTGTGTTTATTTCCAGAATGTGCCAGATAAACAAAATTACTAACCTCTTTAGGAGGTCCTGATTGACCTCAACTGGTCTTTAAAAGTTCTATCTAATAAAATGTAAAAATAAATTTGCTATTGCTATGATAATGTTTCGTTTCTAACCAAACGCAGACTTTAAATTTTATAAATCTTATATACACATTTTAATATATTACATTGTATATATTATATTAAATATTTAAACATGAAAATGCATTAATGTAACATTAAAAATTGAGAAAAGCAAGGTACAAATGTATAATATTCCCATAAAAAGAAAAAAAATACGAATATACATTCGTATTTGCATGTAGAGATACACAAAGAAATTCTGTAAGAATACCCAAAACACTGACTAATTGCAGTGGCCCGTTTGTGGGTTAACATAGGAGAGTAGAACTGGGCAAGTAAGGATGGGATACTTTTTAACATTATACTCTTCAAGCATCCCTTTTCTATTTTTCCAAGAGCAGCCATGTATTTTCTTTTTCAAAATTAAATTTGAAGTAAAAGAATAAGTTAATAAAATAGTAGCTGTTGAGATGCTCAGTATGTTGAAGATACGGGAAAAAATAAGATGTTAAAAAAAAATGTGTTTAGGGGCACCTGGGTGGCTCAGTGGGTTAAGCCTCTGCCTTCGGCTTGGGTCATGATCCCAGGGTCCTGGGATCGAGCCCAAATCGGGCTCTCTGCTCCACGGGGACCCTGCTTCCTCCTCCTCTCTCTCTGCCTGCCTCTCTGCCTACTTGTGACTTCTGTCAAATAAATAAATAAATCTTTAAAAAAAAAGTGTTTAGCATGCTACTGTTTGTGTAGATAAGGGAGGAAATACACAGGAATATTTAAAATTCTCTAGGAAGGTAAGTTAGGAATTAATAGCAGTGATTATATAAGGAGATAATATCTGAGTAGATGGGAGAGATGTAAAAAACATGTTTCTTTTTAAATATTTTCAGATGTTTGAACCCATTTAAAAAGTTAGATTAACACATATAAAAATAATTTTTTTAAGTTCAAGAAAAAGTTCAGAACAAAAAAGGAAATTTAGTTTTAAAACACCGTAAATATACGTTATCTTTCCGAACAAAAAGCACTCCCGTCCCTGTGCAAAATTGAAAAGCAAAACGGCATTTTCTTGCCTGTCTGGTACACAGAAAGCTGACGTGGGTTCCTGGGGCTGCCCGAGCAGCTTTAAAATGCTGATGGCTGGGACAGGACCCCGGGGCTCCTGCCACAGCCACCTTGGAAGGCAGAGCCCTGGGCACTCTGGTGGGGGAGGGAAGGGGCCGCTGACGGAACAGCTTATCTGAATGCTGTTCTGAGGCACCAGGATGAAGGTACACGGATTCCCTCAACCTGACAGAGAACCAGAACCTTCTAGGGAGGGAGGCTCCTGCAACGTTACTGCCCCGACTTCTCTCATCTTTTCCTTTGTTAAATGGGTAGAGAAAAAAAAAATTCAATTTGCTTTGAGATCCCGCCTGTAAAAGAAGGACATAGAAAGGAGGAATAAAGTCAATGTGACCTCACATGGAGGTGGTGAAACGGCTGAAACATAGTATGTCCTCAGTCTCCCGCTTCACCTGCTTATGCTGCAGAGAGCTCCTCGTGGTTAGAAAACACTGCCTAACTCTGATGGTAACAGTTCACAATTAATAAGTGCTTTTTGAGAAACGTAAACTGTTTTCTAACTTATGTTTTTAAAAACTCTGATACTACAGGAAAAAAATGTGAAATTCCTATTGATAAAGAAATTATGTATGACCCAGGCAAAACTGACCTATCTAAGATTACATGGAAACTACTATTTCATAGGTTCTGTAAAATGGGATAATAATATCTACATCTCATAGGCTGTAAAGATTAAATGAGTTAAAGAACATGAAGGGCATATCTTAGTGCTCTAACGTGTCAGAAGAGCTTAACCAACATTAGCATGGGGTTGCTTAACCTTCCCAAAACAGCAGAACAAAGTTGATAATCAGAAGAAGCCATTTTCTACCCAAACCCGTACTTTGGCAAACGTGATGTAAAACTCCCTTTTGAGTGTGCTTCTCTCCACTGTGATGATCTGGTAGAGTCCACAGCCTAATGACAATGCTAGGCAAATCCTTAAAATGATTAGCAAGATCCCTGCTAAGTTGTGATGTGAATGGTAGCTGTGAGGACTGGTATCTTCGAACTGTTCCCATAGCAGCAAAATACTCTGCAAAATACAATATTACATTTAGAGAAAAAAAAAATCTTGTCTACTCATATGTACTTTGTCAACTCTTTTCAAACATTCCCTTAAAGAGTATATAAACATTCCTAAGAGATTCTAAGATTTACCAGACTATAAATGTTGCTGACTAACAAAGCACAGGTATTAGGCAGAGACTTTTCCTCCCTGATCCCCTAAGCTAGAGAACAGGGATTTTTATCAAAGATCACATACAAAAGATAAAAAATGCAATTGTGACCACAATTCAAGTAAAACATCTCCAAAGATGAAAATAAGCTGGGGCGCCTGGGTGGGTCAGTGGGTTAAGCATCTGCCTTCGGCTCAGGTCATGATCCCAAGGTCTTGGGATCAAGCCTCACATCGGGCTCTCTGCTCACTGGGGAACCTGCTTCCTCCTCTCTCTCTCTCTCTGCCTGCTTCTCCGCCTACTTGTGATCTCTTTCTGTGTCAAATAAATAAATAAAATCTTAAAAAAAAAAAAAAAAAGAAAAGAAGTTAAAACATTAAGAGAATAAACCTAAACTTTCTTCTAAAGAATTGCTCTTCCTTCAGCACCATATTAGGAATCAAAATTAATTTTGAATTTTGAATACAAAAGTTTGAAATTAGAATACAAAAATGTATTCAAGCCCATCATCTCAGGATAACTTTGAAATTATCTTGGTACCCTCTGTAATCCAGAAGTGAGTAAGTCAGAATTGTTGACTTTAGATGTCACTCCCCAGTATAAAGGGGAGAGAGAGAGGGAGACTGTGTGGTTTTTTTTTTTTTTTTTTTGAGTTGAGAGAGAGAATGAGTACATGCACACACACGAGCAGTGGAAAGGGGCAGAGGCAGGGGGAGAGAGAAACACCAAGCAGGTTCCACATCCAGTGTGGAGCCCAACAGGGGGCTCAAACCGAGGACCCTGACATCATGACCTGAGCCAAACTCGAGTCGGATCTTCAACTGACTGAACCAGCCAGGTGCCCTAAAGGAGAGTATAGCTTTAATATTCACTGTAAGTACCCAGGCTATTCATGCATAACCGGCAGTTACTCATCCTTTTGTTTGCTGACCCCCCCCCGCCCCCCGCCATATCGTTACCATTACAGTAGAAAGCTCAGCGATTCCTCATTAGCTCTTCTATTTATTGCTATTCAGTAGAAACACTTTTCTTCCATCTTTTCCAAACGTCAATCACAAATTACTATGATGTTTTTGCCATCACAAATATCAGTAGCCCTGTGTTTCCTTCATTTGCCAACTCAGCCCTCAGAATGGTTTTCAGTGGCTTCCGAAGAATTCAGATCGAAACTCAGTCATTAAATCCAATTCTTAGACTTTACAAGTTTTGTCAGCAACCCCTTCCTCTTCTTACTCTCAGATCATCTATCCTGGTCTTAGACCTACTGCCATGCTGGACTGCTGGGCTCCTCGGCCATGCTGCACACACGCATTTCCTTCTTAGGCTGAATATTTGCTCTCCATTACTCAAGTGTTAGTTCTTCACTTCCCCGAGTTACTATATCCATACAATTCCTTAACCTCTATTTCTAAACTTAACTTTTGCAATGAAGAAGTGCTATTGTACAACTACTATCTCCTGGTATCTATGTGAGGTGATGGATATGTTAACTAGTCTGATTTGGGGGATCATTTCACAATGTATACATATATCAAAACATCAAGTTGTATATCTTAACATGTAAAATTTCTTTTTGTTAATTATACCTCAATAAAGCCAACAAAACCCCATCACTTGCCATGATTCACATTTTTATATATTCAAACTCTACATTTTCTGATGTGTATACTAACATGTGACCTGTGGAAAATATGCATGTATTTACGTAGTCATGTGTACCTCATCTGGGTGGTTGCTGAGAACCAGAGCTTACGTAAGCTCTAGAGCAGTGTCATAATCTCAGTTCTGAATTCATATTTGTCTATGATAATGGATTAAAATTATAATGAAATAATAAAAATTCATTTCTTAAGAAAGCTCTTTATTGAGAAATGAGAATTTGATGTTATTAACACTACTCTCCATAAGCCCTAGATTGGAAACAGTAAGTTTCTAATCTTGCCCTTACTTACTAAACAGTAAGTTTCTAATCTTGCCCTTATTTTAATCACTTCTAACACAGTGCCTTAGAAAGGCATTATTTCCTATCTAAATATCATCACTTGTGACACGGTCTCTTTCTAACTCAATCATGAAATTCAATACACCTATTTCACTTGGCACCTACTATACTAAATACATACTATGATTATAAAGATGAGCAAAGCACAGGACTTATCCTTAGTTAATGAATTTTTCACTTTATTTAATGTGTTAAGATTTAGATTATAATGTCCTTTGTAGAGCCCAGGTACAGATTTCATTTTCATCTACAGCTAATGATGGTCACAAACTCAGTATAAATTTTTGATTACATTTTCCTTAATAATTTTTATAAAATCCACTGCACATAGGCATATGGAGATCCTAGAATAGAAGAAAACAAACAAAAAAAGGGCTAAGAGAACTAAATTTTCTAAAAGACTAAATTCGATCTTGGACTTGTTTTAAAAAACTAGATCCCATTCATTCTTATTCTGTTTTTTGCTTTTTCATTAACCTCAGATTTCCTTTGAATTCTTTCATGTATAAAGTAACAGAACTGGACCTAAAAATCCTTGCCCATGGATGAATCTCAAATTCACTGATGCACTCATTTAAAATGTTAAGTTCTTACTATGTGTTAGAAATTATGAAAGAAAGCTATTAAGTAGGAAATGAGAATCTATCTTAATATTAAGCATTCTGCACATTTAAAATAAGCTGATTGAAAGCTCAAAGTCAAGTAAATTATAACTAAATTCTGCAATCGACATATACTAGCACTCAATACTGTACGTTATTTCATCTATCACTCTTTAAATTCATGCTTTAAAATGACAAATTCCTCATGGGTCCGGTTTCACTTTTCAAATGAGGTTATGTTCAAGGTTACATTTCTGTATATTCAAAGTACAAACACTGAGCATCGACACTCACCTGTGTCACGACAATGAATACCGCAATGCCTGTGGATGCGGGAGTTGAATCCCACTGGAGAGGCCTGCTTTGAGACTTCTTCATTCTGACTATCGTCCAACCCATGCACAGACTCAGAAGCAGGTATAACATTTGAATTTGGGACGCAATGTCAAAAACTAATGGGAAATGAAAACCAAAGTCAACCAAGTTTTCATAATACAAAGGATTAGGTCCTTTTAGCACTGAGAATGTAATTATCTTTTTAAACACAAAAAGTTAGGCATTTTCAAAGAAAAGTTGATAAAATTCAATAATAAGAAATAGTCGAGTAGAACTCTAAAAATTAAAATTTTGCCACTAAGTTTGTAAACATTTCTGAAAATAGAACAATGGCAATATTCTCTCTCTCTCTCTCTATATATATATCTTTATTAAGACCAACTTTAAATCTCCTTGTGTTTCCCATTTTTCTTAGCTTTTCTTACTATATAATACTGTTCTCTATAACTGACTGCTCATTAAAATAAACACATTTTAAAAGTAATTTCTGCAATGTGGAGAATACTAGTGCCTTCATTTCCAGGTCGTTAATTATTTTTTGATGGTTGAACTCTATAATGTGACCTTATTTTCTAAAATTATTAATAAGAAATAGCATGACAATAAAACACATGGCTGCTGTAACATTCAAATTTGTTGGCTTTAGTGTTAAGAGTCCCGGAGACGAATGAAACACTCCGTGCGTTAGTGTGACGCGCCACCACGTGGCCATCACTGACACTGCAGGGAAGGCTGCTACTTTAAAAAATGAGGCAACAAGACCACCCATCCAGTTCTCCATTTGGAAAAGACAACACTCTATAAATACTCTAAGTTCCACGCATTTTTATTTTGGAAACTAGTATTTATTGATTTAAAAAAGATGATAACTTTCTCATAGGGTATTCTGATGTGGATTTTGGAATAAACGCGATTAAAATTTAAAAAAGTGAAACTTTCTTCAAATTGTCAGCAGTACCTTGGACATCTACGACTTTCACTTCTTTTATATAAAGCTATTTTTGCAGAAACAGGTAAAAGTAGCTGTACTATAATATACTAAAAAGCTACAAGCTTAAAACCTTTTAATGATACACCTTTTCACATATATTTTTACCATTTTCCCTCTTCTCTGCCATCCAAATTAAAACTGGATACTCGACATTTATGCTCATATATTTGTAACAGTGAATTCTGATAACGAATTGTTACTACATTTGAATGGTACAAAATGTCATAGCCTTTCAGATCAAGCAAAATTTTCTTTCATCACAGGCTGTAAATGACTGTGATGCCAATTATTTTATTAAACATCTCACAAATACATATTCAGTTACTTAAAGAACTCACTCAAAGCAATAGTCCTGCATAAGTTGCTAATTAGCAAAAACAAATACCTGGAGGGAAAAACCCTGATGTTCTGGCTCTTTCCTTTGTATACTAAGACACACACTGACAGAATACCATAACTGTAAGTATAGGTAGAACCCTGCTTATCTGTCACTGAAAAATACCCAGTTGTAGATAAAATATACACATCACACAAAAATCCCATTCTCTGTTATTAACAATCTCGACATTTTAATCATTTAATAATCAAACCTGTTGTTGGAACACCAAAATTAATCAACATTTATTGTTAGTTTAATGAAAAGAAACCTTTTAACTTTTAACCTGCAGTGAAGATGCCAGACAGCCTCAAACACTACTCTGTACGCAGCAGCACTGACAAAAATGCAAAAGACCTTGATTTTAGTACTGGCTTCCACTGATGGGCTTTTGTGTCCTTTGCCTTTCAAAATGCATAAGCTAAATTATTTCTCGGGTTCTGTTCAGCTTTTAAAATTCTATGGTTCTCAGGCGCCTGGGTGGCTCAGTTGGTTAAGCGGCTGCCTTTGGCTCAGGTCATGATCCTGGAGTCCCGGGATCGAGTCCCACATCGGGCTCCCAGCTCCATGGCGCGTCTGCTTCTACCTCTGACCTTCTCCCCTCTCAAGCTCTCTCTCTCTCTCAAATAAATAAATAAAATCTTTAAAAAAAAAAATTCTGTGGTTCTCTTAAACATCCTGAGTGACCAAAGAGACAAGAGCAGGAGACACTAGAGCTCTCAATACTGTTCAAAAAGGAGAAGCAACTCTTATTTGTGTCGAAGAGGTGACCAGTACACATCCTTTGCAGTAGGAAAACAAAGGTTCTAAGAGGTTTAAAATCTTAAAGTAGGCAGCAAGATGATAAATGGACCCGAGATCATTACAGAGATGACCATGAGCTACCCTATTAAATAAAGAGAGATGAGACTAGAAGAGAATTATGGAAATATTTCAAAAAGTAAATCATAGAGTGGTTTCATATTCAGAATCTCCTTTTTAAGAGTAAATCTTGACTATTTTTCGGGGACTAAGAATGGCATTATATATGGGCGCCTGAGTGGCTCAGTGGGTTAGGCTGCTGCCTTCAGCTCGGGTCATGATCTCAGGGTCCTGGGATCGAGTCCCGCATCGGGCTCTCTGCTCAGCAGGAAGCCTGCTTCCCTCCCTCTCTCTCTGCCTGCCTCTCTGTCTACTTGTGATCTCTGTCAAATAAATAAATAAAATCTTAAAAAAAAAAAAAAAGAATGGCATTATATAGATTATGGGAACTTTTAAATATTTTCCCCATCATGCTTAGTTGGAAAATTACGTCATCAAAGTTCTTCATATAAATAAAAGAACGAAGCTGTGAGGTCAATTCAATGATAGGTATCATATACTCTCTGGCTTTTATTTCTGTGTCAGAAATAGGAAGAGTCAAAAAAGGGATGAAAGTAGGAAAACCACCTTCAGCTTTGGGCTCAGAACACTTGGCTCTGAGTTTGGTCTCTCCCACGCAACAGCTGCTGACATTGGGAAATGTGCTTCCTGTCAATGACCCCAGATTCTTTACATGCAAACTAGGGATAAACGTCTCTACTTCACTGAGTTTTTATTGAGGTAAACTGAGAGAAGCATATAAATATGCTCCCGAAACAATGAAGAAAGACACTCGTTATGTATTATCAAGAAGAAACTAAACGGGACAGATGGGAACAGAATCTTTTCATCTGGGCTGAATTGTACCCAACCCTGGATAGAAAAACATACATAATTTACAAAAAAAGCAAAACAAGCCAGAAGCAGATAGCAAGTTTAGGTTTCAAAAAACACATCTCAGAAAGATACTCACATTCTGCCAAAGTTCCCATAAAAGGTATCCCTATTCCATCTTTGGAGTAACTGAGGAATTGAAGAGAAGAGTATTAGTGTAAATTACAAATGCGCAAAGATGGTTCATAATCAAAGCAAGCATAATTTTGGCGAACTAATTAGGATTAATTAGATGTAATGGTGAACACAGCTTTAGTGGTTTCGAGTTACCTGGAGAAATGAATATAATTAGCTAAAGCCGAGGCGGCCTGCAGTAGCAGCGCGGTTGTCAGAACCTTGAGGATCACGTGCATGGGCCCTCCTTTCCTGATAGCCTGCCACAACGTCTGAGCATAAATGCAAGCAAGCACAAAGTACACCAGGACTAGGAGGAAAAAGAACTCATGTAACCCTGTGAAGAGAAGAAAGGAGTTTGCTTCAGTACAACAGAGCCAGTGACCGTGTGGGGCTGTTTTCAAATCTTCCCTCAATATATTTCTAGAAGTTGGCATTTTAATTGGAGTCATTACATTCACTTGTGTATGGAAAAAAAAGGGAAACTGTTAAAATGTAAACAATTTTTTACTTTGGGATAAAGATTTAAATCTAAGAAGACGGATTAAACTAAAGAAGGTAAAGTCAATCTAGAAAAATCATCGTGGTTGGGGGATAAGCCTGAAGACTAACCAGAAGAGCACAGTTTTGTTAGAAAACAGTAAATTAAAACCAGGATTTTAGCAGTTAGACATACTTTTTACCCCCAAAGTGGATTGCTTTAGTGTGAAATTTAGGAACAGATTTGGTCAACAATAGTTTAATACATCCTGACAATGGTTCTCAAAGTGCAATTCCTGCGCCAGCAGCAATTGTTGGAAATAGAAATGCACATTCTTGGGCCTTATCCCTGATCTACTTTATCAGAAATTCTGGGAGAGGGGAGTAGCAAGCTGTGTTTTAATAAGCCCATCAGGTGATTCTGATGCAAAAACAGCTCTGGAATGTACCATGACCTTACATTTCCGGTTGGACAAAGTTTCAAAATACCTGTTACAACCAGAGTCCCCTCCTGAAGAAAACTGTCAGCTCCTGTCAAAGAGGAAATCCTACAGAGACCATGAGACTCCATTCCCAGCGGACTGAAACTGTAATACCTAATCAAACGGCACCCGATCCGAAGACCAGCCAAAGGCCACGAGACTAATTTGGTTCTCAAAGGTAAGTCAGACTAATCACACTCTCTCAGGAAATGAAACCACAAAACACGGAAAGAATCAGGCAATAGAACTGAAGTTGAAAGGAGCGGACACTGGGACAGACCAAAGATGTCAGATCAGGCCACAGTGAAATAAATATTTTGAGTAAACAGGAATTTCAAATAAGCAAAGAGAGCTGGTTGGTAAAGACAAGAACAAAGCAAAGCAAATGAGCAGACTTTATGTTAGAAACGGTGCCAGTCGTTAAGCAGCCTCTAGTTCCTACTAACAGTTTTCCGATACAGTGTTCATGCAACCACAAGATAAACGCCCCCTTTTTCTGCATTACCTGGAATCTTTTGACTGTGTCTTCATTTTTCAGAAATTTCAGAAAATTTTTATCATGAACTAGAGGGCTAGCTTTGAGTTCAATAGCTTCTGTACATTGACTTGGTTACATCTACTGCTAGTTCCTAATATGAAGATTTTATATTGTATCTAAATACACCGGATATTGTATGTAAACACACAGGAGTGCAGTGCGGGTGGCTGTGAGGGGAGCTGCGTCTGCTGATTCTGGGGACAAACAGTCCGAACTGCGATCACTCCCATCCGATCATGGGCTCAGAATCTGCTCCAGTTTCCTACCCGAGGTAAACTCCAATCAACAGGCAGAGAAGGGAGTATCCATTTTGAAAAAAGCAATCCAGAAGATGCAAAAGGTAGGAAAAACAGTCAAGAGACGCTTCAATCTCAGTCACGTTTTTAGAATGAGTAGGAGTAAGAGAGAAAGAGAGAAGTAGTGTTTCAGCCACTGGGTGTCTCTCCTGCTCTGCGTATATAAATGTCGCTAGTTCTTCTCTGATGCAGGTGAAAAAGCATGTTTGGACTTCAGGAAGAGAAGATCAAATAACTGAAAAGGCCTAATTTCTTTTTAAACTCCTTACATCAAGGGTATTCCAGCTTTAGAAATAATGGGACAATAAGCCTGGGATTACGATAGTAATGGAACAAGACAGAAAACACGCTAAATGTGTTATCACTACAGTAAAATTCTTTATGAGGTCCTGCCTTTTGAATCTTAGTTTTTATTTTCCCTTCTTAGTATAAAGAATTAAATATGGCATTCTTTTGTTTTATTTACTTAAAATACTTTACAGAGTATCTATTACAAGATCAAATTTCAGACTCCATCAGGTTATAAATCCACGACAAAAAGAAAATCCGCAGACTATTTACTGAGGATTCAGAATAATGTAGAAAGTACTTGTGAAAGGAAGACATATGTCAGCAGCACAAAACAGGATTATTCAATATTAAACGTACCCTCCAGAAAAGCTAACATTATAAGCAACAAAATCATTTCATTCAGATAACACGTTAGGTAACCTGAACTAGCTCAGGACATCTGGGTCCTGTACTTCATTCATCATTACTCTTACCTTGTTTCTGTCCACGAGACAGTCTAAAGGTAAAATGCTGATTCAGCACGCACTGTTCTCTTAAAATAAATCCCCTCTAGAAAAAAGAAGTCTGTTCTTTTCTGAAGAGTGATCAACTTTTTTATTTTGTCACCACCCTTCACAAGAAAGCCAACTCTATTTGTTCACTGTGAAATTAGATTCTACTTTTAAGACAGGTGGGTGGTAAGTATTAACTCTCACCTGTACACAAGGAAGAAAAATACTGTCGAATGGGCATGCAGGAGGTGGCCCACATGTATGTTATGAGGGAACATGTATGCAGATTTTAAGGTGAGCTTAAAGGAAGCAGCACTGGCAAAACTCAGCAGGAAGAAAACTTACGGGGCAGCTTCAAAAAACTCAGCTCCAGCTACATGACAGGAGAAAAAAGGGTAAGAAAAGAGAGTCGCTGGGTCAGGAGAGCGGCACTGGAACACTCCTGCCTACCCCAAAGTCCATAACACCTGCAAGTGTTTCAAGATACATCCTGATTAGCCTCGACTGATCACAGAAATTCCAACAGTCCTGCCAATAAGAAGTAAGCCTAACCCTTCACTCTGACGCATTAGTCTATCCCTATCCTCCTTCGGACCCCTTCCACTTACATTTCTCTTATGATGGCGTAGAGTAAGGGCATGTGACCCAGCTCTGGCCAGTGAAATCTAATGAGGGAGTTTCTGAGAAAGGTTTCCTTGCTCTCAAAAGAAGAGATCCTGAATCTCGTCATTATCTAGGTGTGACACCCAAAGAGTGAACTGCGGTTACCCTTGAACATGAGGGAGCTAGCCTAAGGACAAAGCTGACGGTCAGAAGATAGGAGGGTAGAGAGATGCTGAATAAACCGGGAATTCTTGTTATGTAAGGTAATTTCCTTATTGCAAACAGTATACTGCTTGCATGAGAATTTTCCATTACTTTAAGCCAAAAGCATTCTAACATGTTACCAGAGCTAGTATCTGGAATCTTAAAAACAAGTGAGATAGCAGATGTTACAGAGAATAACATAATATTATTCTGATGAAAACCAGCCTACTTTAGATGATAATGCTTTAACTCTCAGGATTCTGAGTACTTCTTTTGGTCTCTAACAAGAGCACAAATGTAGTCAATGAAGATTCTAATTTTATTAAGAAGCAGTTTAACATATTCTACCTTAAAGCACAATATTCCTATGTAGTATCTTGTCAAGTGGCATCATCCTTGCCTTGGTGTTTTTCTAAAACCTAAACCAATCTATAAAATATGAGATGAACCAAAGTTTGATAGATACAAAATACATAATTTGTTTGAAAGAAAACAAATTATAAAATCTAACCAGAATAACATGTAACATTAATTGCAGCTATCTGCACCAGGTTATTCTAATTCAAGTTCCTTAGACACACAGCTTAATCATCAATTCTCAGCAAAAACCATAGCAAATCAATTTTCCTTACTCAGGGCAGAAAATTAAACAAATGAGCAGAAGTTTCTAAAATGAACTAACTGGGGATTATTCCCTGGAAAGAAATTCCACACCTGAGGCTACAGAATAGGAGGAATCCCTCTCAAGGCTGTACTGTAAAACTCGTACGATACCAAAACAATGTGGGATATGGACTTTTTTTTTTTTTTTAATGATTTTATTCATTTATCTGAGAGAGACTGAGACAGCAGACTCCCCACTGAGCAGGGAGCCCGATGCGGGACTCAGATCCCAGAACCCTGGGATTATGACCTGACCCAAGGGCAAATGCTAAACCAACTGAGCCACCCAGGCGCTTGGCATATGGACTTTTAGATCACTGGTTCTGCACATTACAATCAACTTGGAGCTTCGACAAACCACAGTTGCCTGGCTTTCACTCCAAAACCAAATCTATCTGAGTCTCAGAAGGTGCACATCTGTCTTGTTTTTAAAGGTCTCCAGATGCAGAGTGATGGCTGAGGACCACTGATTTAGACTTTGATGTAGAATTAATCATATGTCATGACAATGTAGAATTAATCATATTTTAAGGGTTTTGAGCACCTTAATCGAGAAAATGATGTGATGCCTAGGAATTAAGCCAGCCACCTAACAACTATGAAGACTTGTGAGTATGGCTGGTACTTGTTGATAATCCATTCCCACAGATGAGCCTTGCACAGAATCATGCCTAATGAACATACATACTGCAGTGAGGTTTTGCCCCTCATTGAAATATTGTTGGTGACATGACCAATGTAAATTTCTCCATTCTAGTATAAAACAGATTTTAGGGCACCTGGGTGGCTCAGTTGCTTAAGCAACTGCCTTTGGCTCAGGTCATGATCCTGGAATCCCAGGATCGAGTCCCGCATCAGGCTCCAGTCCCACATCAGGCTCCCAGCTCCACAGGGAGTCTGCTTCTCCCTCTGACCTTCTCTCCTCTCATGCTCTCTCTCTCTCTCTCTCAAATAAATAAATAAAATCTTAAAAAAAAAAAAGACAGATTTTAAACATGAACATGAGCATCAAATCAAAATCAGTTTTGGAGAAGGAAGGTCAAAAAGAGTCTGGACTAAGAGCTGAATTAGAATGGATCACGGGAACCCTAAACAAAAAGCTACCCGTAATTCAGGATGCTGGAAAAATACCGGAAGATGTGGGCAAGGTTCAGGGTGAGCCTGGGCAAGTATGGCTGACATTCAGTGGCCCAGGGGTGGCACAGGCCACAAACGTGATCACTCTATGGCCTACGGTCAACGTTCAGATGTCTAATTGGGAATGAGGAAAGAGACCAAAAATGGGAGCCTGGATAAGGAAGCAAAAAGAAGTATATCAGGAGCTAGTAGAGTCTTGTGGATCCACACAGTAAATAGAACAACCTCTTGAGCTCTATGCAAATTGCCAGGATGGCAAGAGGGGAAAGGGCTTTTGGACTGACTACACTACAGGCCGTGGTGTTTGCACACAGTGAATGCAGAGCAGAGTAGTACTTTCTGCTGAGCCTTTACCAGTCCTAGAAATAACTGTCACATGAAATAACAGAGAGTTAGGGTTAAAAAGGACCTTACAAGCAATTTAGTTCACCTGTCATCCAGTGCTGTCAGTAGACCTGAGTTTCACTGATGCCTTTCTAAACTACAGAAAATTAATGTCAACATCTTTTATAAAAATTTAAAAAATTGGGGCCCCTCGGTGGCTCAGTTGTTTAAGCATCGGACTCTTGATTTAGGTCAGGTCATGATCTCAGGGTCACAAGATCAAGCCCTGAGTTGGGCTCTGTGCTGGTGGCTTGGAGCCTGCTTGGGATTCTCCCTCTGCCTCTTCCTCCCGCCCTCCCCGCTCTAAAATAATAATAATGATGATGATGATAAAAGAAATGGTATGACTGAACTGACATCCAATAATGAACCATACTGATCCAAAATACTATTAAGTAAAATTCAACCCTTTTTTTTTTTTTTTAAAAGATTTTATTTATTTATTTGACAGAGATCACAAATAGGCAGAGAGGCAGGTAGAGAGAGGGGGGGGGGGGAAGCGGGCTCTCTGCTGAGCAGAGAGCCCGATGTGGGGCTGAATCCCAGGACCCTGAAATCATGACCTGAGCCGAAGGCAGAGGCTTAACCCACTGAGCCACCCAGGCGCCCCGTAAAATTTAACCCTTAAGTTTGTTTGCATTCAAAAATAATTTGAGTAGCTTACCCTTCTGTCATTTCCTTCACAGAAAGAACTTTTAAACTTAACTATTTAAAAATGTTGGTCTCTCCAGTCTGTCACTATGTAAATATTTTTTCAGACTATAAGACATAAAAATAAATTTATCTCTTCATACGTTAAGTTACTGGTAACCTACTGTCCATAAGACATGTTCCCTGAGTTACATTTCTAGCTGTGGCAATTTACACTTTGAACTAAATAATCGGTTTCATCTAATATAGCCTCAATTTCTTCTACCTGCACCCACTCACCTTGATGGCCAATGAGATTTAATGGGATTGAATTTTTCTCTAAGCATATTGATTCTTCCAAATGGGTAATCATTAAGAAATAAACTCCTTATCCTTTTGATAGCTGTCCTACAATCTTAGTCTTTATTCTGATATGTAAATTTACACATCTGCTATAATACTGTATAGCATGTTTATCATTAATCACAAGAAGTCATTTATTTCTGTTCAGGCTAGGAAACTTACTTCTGTAGGGCAACAGGCAGTCAACCAAAAATTTGATGAAATATTTTATAGGAGTAAATCAGATTTTGGAAAACATTATAAAACTCCGATCATTCCTAAAATGGTTGCAAGCTCCCATGCAGGCAATCCCTAATCTCTTTAAACAACTTGGCGAAAGGACAGCCATACAAAATAGTGCAGTTTCCACCTCACTTAAAAATTGATTTACCAATTTAGGTTGCTCAATTTACTGGCATTTTTCTGTTTTATGATAACTAGGTTATCATAAAAATAACAAAAAGGTTTAGAATGCATGGGGGAAAAAGCCTAAAAATCCGTAATTCTACTACCCAAAATACAGAAACAATCTATTAGTATTTTTATACTTCTTTCTCAATTCTCTGCATTTTTTAACATACTTGAAATCATAAAATATAATACTTAGTGTTCTGCTTTTCTAACTTAATAGTATGGCTATTAAAATGCTATAAGAGGGGACAGCTGGTTGGCTCAGTGGGTTAAGCCTCTGCCTTCAGCTCAGGTCATGATCTCAGGGTCCTGGGTTCGAGCCCCACATTGGGTTCTCTGCTCAGCAGGGAGCCTGCTCCCCCACCCTCTCTACCTGCCTCTCTGCCTACATGTGATCTCTGTCTGTCAAATAAATAAATAGAATTTAAAAAATAAATAAATAAAATAAAATGCTATAAGAGGATTCACTTACCATCTGCCTACTGTTGGGACACTTAAGTTGTTTTTAATTTTTAATACTCAAAAAACATAAAATGGAGATATTAGTGCACAGGCTTTTTTCTATATTTAGAATATACACTTAAGTATATATTCTTACCAGATTCTCCAGCACTAAAATGATCAAATGGATTCCCTTCGGCATCCGGGTTTAGTAACATCATTTCAAATGGGATATCTTCCGCCTGAGAATTCTCATTGTCATCTTCGCACGTATACTTGTCTGCATAAAACACGTGCCATGTTTGTGGATATGGAATCTGGGACATGGTCAGATTATGTTCAGTCTGATTCATGGTCACTTTAAAAAGAAAGAAAATAGCACTTTGAAAGCAAAATTCTCAAATGTACTCATTGTTTCAGTCATAAAATTAGAATTCTTTTGTTTTATTCCTACTACCTTGAAAACCAAAGCCCCGGTGTAGTACTGGAATAAGGCCTGTAAACCTTAAGGCAGGTAAGAATAATGTATCTTAACCAAAGGGATCACTACAGTAGTACTGTAAAACACCACAAATGAGCAGAATGGTTTCAATGAAATTTTGAATATGAATTTTAAATTTTAAAGTTTCCAAGTAGATTAGTAACATTAAGAATTTTTTATTGTGAGGAAATATACATAAACACAAAAGTTAACATTTTAACCATGTTGAAGTGTACAGTTCTGAGGCATTAAGTACCTTCACAATGCTGTGTAACAACTGCAGTGACATTTTTGAAAATTATATTTGAGTTAAAATTAAAATGGAACATTCAATTCAGAGAATCATTAGATCTAAAAACAATGACCCACAAATACCTTCAAAAGATTTTCCAAAATCTTTTTCTCATTGATTATTCTTTAAAAAGGTACTGAAAGGAGAAGAGTAGAAATGACCAGAATATCAGAGTTGTTCTACTGGGTCAGGTCTATGCAGTGGGGGGAGGGGGATGCTTGTGAATGTTGGCATCACACAGATCTGTGTTTGAATCCTGGCTCCAATACTTACCTTTGGTGTAAACTTAAGTTATACGTTATGATACTTTTTCATCTGTAGAATGAATCCTTAGAGCAAAGAGCTGATGGAAGGACTAAGCTATATGAGTCACCACGATACCTGTCCTACAGTAATTGCTGAATAAAGATTGATTCTCCTTTTTCTTTCTTTAAAACAAGGTAGTTATACTAATAAATGGCTCTTAAACCAGGGTAGTCGTGCTGCCCTCCAATACATTTGAAAATGTACAGGGACAGTTCTGTAGTCAAAATAGTTGAGAAGGTCCTTGGAGGGAGGCTGTGCTAAGCCTCATGCAATCCAAGGTAAAGTTTCATACAATAAAAACTTGTTCTGCCCAAAATGCCAACAGCACCCCCTTTGAGAAACACTTAATGATGTCTAAGATGCCGCCCAAATCTGAAACTATGATTCTGACTTAAGAGGCATTCACGAACACCACCATGAAGCTGTAGGACAGCAGTGTCTCAAGCGCTATGTATAATAAAAGAAGAGAAGAGTTAGAAGATGTCTTGGTGATGTTACTTAATAACCTTGTGACTCAGCAAAGAAATTGCTTACCCTCTCGAGATGTGCTTCTTCAGCAGTAAAATTCAGATACCTGACTTAACTCAGAGATCTTGTGAGAAGCAAATGAGACAGTATATGAAAATCCAAATAAAGAGCCTGATTCTCTACAAAGTATTCTTTTTTTTCCCCCAAAGTAGAATATTCTTAAAATATAAGATTACGATGGGCCCAATTCCCAACTCCCCGCAGCATGTCAGCTAGTCTTGATCTTTTTCTCAATGAAGAAAAAAATGCTTTTTAATAAACAAAAGACACTTTCTGAGATAAACATGGGGATTTGCATGGGGACATTATGAACTTACTCATTTTCTTAGGTGTCATGATGGAATTGTTATGAAGAAGTGCTCATGATACCCACGGCCTATTTTACTATGCCTTGATTAAAAACAAAAATCACACACATACAAATATAAAACAAATGTAACAAAATATTAACAATTACTGAACCTAAACAAAGGATACACTCATGTTAGTTGTACAACACTTTCAACTCATCTGTATGATTGGAGACTTTGCGAGTAAAATTTTAAAAAATGCTATTTGTAAGTGTCTTTATAAATGAGTACACATTTATCTAGTCAGGATTCACATTTTGAGGACTTAGACTTTACAACTAGGAATTTCATTAACAGTAGTTAAAGCGGACAAGATGATTTTTATTAACAATGCCTCAGCATTGTTTTTTGGGCTATATTAATTTTGGGGCATATAAAAGTAATTATACTTTTGTTTTTGGTTTATTTATTTATTGTATAGCTTCTTGAAAAATGTAGCCAAGACTCTAGTTTCTGTTAAATATTTGAAGATGTTTAATAAGAATTCAACATATGACCAATAGTGGCTCAGAAATTAGGCTTTTGAAATGTGCAGCTCCCAATGACATAATCTGGACCTTATAACATAAAGGGTCTGAAAAGTTCCATTTTATCATTATCACTTGCACTTTTTTCTTAGATAAAACAACATAAAAATTAACCATTGTATTTTTCACCAATATACTTTTAAATGTCTCATTTTCAATTATGCAGATTTATATAAAATAAAAATAAAAGTGTGCTTCAAAAAATGATATTGGCCTTAGGTTTTTTTGGCCTTGTGGCCTTTTTTAGGAAGCCTAGGAAACAAGCATCTTGACAAAACTGTACGTTCATTGTTTTTGAGACAAAAGATTAGCACAAAGCATGCGTATTCCATGCTGATGTAATTAGTATCTTACATATTAACAAAACTTGAATTACAAAGAATGGTGTTACATGGCTAGCTGCCCAATCATGTTATAAAAGAAAATACACAGAATAATAAAATGCTAACACCTTTAAATGATTTATAAAATACATTAAATGTACAAAAGGAATTATTGTGCATATGGTATACAAAGACAATACTAAAAATGTTTTATAAGCAAAATATTTAGCTTTTGTAACCTGAATTTCCTTATTAAATTTTTTTATGTAATGTCATAATTTTCAGTGTTTTTAAATGTCTCATTTGCTTGCTTTAAAAACCTATAAAACAGTTATCATTTAAAAAATAATCTGGTGTAGTATAGCTTTACTGAAAGAGGAAAAGGAAGACTGAAAAATAATTTCTCAAACACTAATTTGAGGGAATGTATACTCACAAGCAACATTTGACACCACAGAATTTTTCAAATCTGTCTTGTCTTTTCATATCTGTCTTAGTCTTCTCATAGTTTCATAGCAGCAGTAAGATTTTACGTAGGAATTTGGCATAATTAATGAACTCATTACCAAGTAGGTGAAAGGCTCTTAATTCTGCCACATTAATGGCCAGGAAATGAGAATTATTTCTATAAGAAATTATTTAAAAATATGTGATACCACTACACTGTCATGAATTTAGGGATATGCTTTCTGTTTCAATGCACCTGAATAATAACATACTATAAATATGACAACTAATATGTAAAAGTTGGGAGGATATTTCTTAAGACTTGGCTTCTATTGCTGGGAAAAGAGTTGATGATATTTGCAGAAAGCAATATATATATATATATATATATATATTTATATATATATATCACCAGTACTTAATTTTGTTCAGGTCTCCAAATTTAACAAAACAATCTTTATTCTGCACAAACGCCTATTTCCTGAGATCTTCCATTCCAGTAATTCCAAAGAATATCCTTGCACTCAACAGAAGAAGAATAGAGAAGAGGGAAAAATAGTTTAAGAAACAACTGCAAGAAGTTTTGGAAGTTGTAGCTTTATAAATATGCAACATCCTAAAAAGTTGTAATTAGAATCGCAGCAGTTTATGACTTTTAGGAACCTTAATGAAAACTTATCCAACTTTCTTGCTGTATGAATAGGTAAAGTGAGGCTCGAAGAAAACAAGCAGTGATTCTCAGTTTAGACATCTTTCCACTGCACCGTGCTCTCCCCGTACACCTAAAGTCTGTGACTGAAGGTATATGACTGATGCAAAAATTATGTTTTTGCAAGTGTATAGTGTATAACATTAACCAGGTAACAAAAAAACTAAATCAATTCCTACAGCTCAAAGCTTTAAATTGCCTGCTAAATTTTTACTGGAAGAAAAAGACCAAATATAAAGCAATCAACCTAGCAACCAAAAAAACCCCCTCAATCTCTTCCATGAATGGTGTTAGAAAAACTGGACAGCTACATCCAAAAAAAATGAAACTGGACCACTCTCTTATACCACACACCAAAAAAAACACCTCAAAATGGATTAAAGACCTAAATGTGAGAACTGAAACCATAAAAATCCTTGAAGAGAGCACAGACAGTAATTTTTCTGACCTCAGCTGTACACAACATTTTTCTAGATATGTCTCCTGAGGCAAGGAAAATAAAAGCAAAAATAGATTATTGAGACTACATCAAAATAAAAAGCTTCTGCACAGTGAAGGAAATAATCAATAAAACAGGAAGACAACAGGGGAGAAGACAGTTGCAAATGACATATCTGATAAAAGGTCAATATCCAAAACATATAAAGAACTTATACAACTCAACACCAAAAAACCCACAAATAATACATTAAAAAATGGGTAGAAGACATAAACTGACATTTCTCCAAAGAAGACATACAGAAGGCCAACAGACATATCAAAAGATGTTTAACATCACTCATCATCAGGGAAATGCAAATCAAAACCACACTGAGATATCACCTCACATCTGTCAGAATGGTTAAAATAAAAAACACAAGAAGTAACAACGGTTGGTGAGGATGTGGAGAAAAAGGAGCCCTCAGTGCAGCTGCTGGGAATGGACACTGGTCCAGCCACTGTGGAAAACAATATGGAGGCTGCTCAAAAAATTAAAAATAGAAATACCGTATGAGCCAGTGATTTCACTACTGTGTATTTACCCAAAGAATACAAAAACATTAATCTGAAAAGATATACACACCCCTATGTTTACTGCAGCATTATTTACAATAGCCAAAAGATGGAAGTGGCCCAAGTGTCCATTGACAGATGAGTGGATAAAAAAGAGGTGATACATACGAAATCTTCCATTTGCAAAAACATGGATGGATCTAGGGATTATAGTAAGTGAAAAAAGTCAGTCAGGGAAAGACAAACACCATACTCTTAACTAGAGAGAACAAACTGATGGTTACCAGAGGGTAGATGGGTGGAGGGATGGGTGGAAAAGCTGAAGGGGATTAAGAGAACATTTATCATGATGAGCACTGAGCAATGTACAGAGTTGTTTAATAACTATATTATACACCTGAAACTAATATAACACCATATTAACTATACTGAAATTAAAACAAAAACAAAAACAAAAACACCCTTCGAGCCCTAAGCTCTATGACAATTCATCCTACAAACCTTTAGTAAAAGTTTAACTAAGCACTAGGGTATTGTAAATTTTCATTCTCATACTACCATGTAACTAACATGCATAGTACTTAATCACAATTGTAATTTCGCATTTATTCACATCGATCAGATTCATTTCTGTCACCCCCACTAACCTTAAGGGCCAAAAGAGTATATTTTGGTCCCTGATTCATCACAAGGGCCTTGTCTAGTACATGAAGCAATGGAAATGAATGAGTAGACCGAAAGAGCCCTGCTGCTCTGACTGATTTTATAACAAATACATAAGATATAAAGTGATAACTATAATATGTGCTATGGAAGAAAACTAGCTATAAAAACTCAAGTGTCAACTTAGTGTAGAGAAGGGCCAAAGAGGGAAGGAAGAACAAACAGAGGAAAAGTCTGTGCAAAGGCCCAGGATAGCACTGAAATAAAACAAGCCTACAGGTAAAATGAGCCAGGAGGGGACACTGCTATGGGATGGAACTGGGGGGTAAATAACGGCTACACCATGACAGCTTTGCTGATCAGGTCAAGGAGACCTGTCTTTGTCCTAAGCGCAAAAGAAAATGACTGGAGTATTTCTGGGTGTGGTGAGGAAGTGAATGTGACATGATCAAATCTGCTGTTCAGAAAGATCGCTCTGGTTAAGGGGGGCACCAGCATGGCAGCTGTGACCAGGAAAGAGACTACTGCAACAGGCAAAAGATTAGGACAGCCTGGAACAACAGGGTAGGGGCAGAGACACAGAAAAACAGATGAATTCCCGAGATATTCAGAGGTCACTTACTGACACGTGGGAAGGGGACAGAGAGGTCAAAGAGGGAGTGTTGGAAGACTCCCTGGGTTCTAGCTTGTTTACCGGCCAGACGGTGGTGCCATCTTGAAAGAGGGAACACCAGAAGAGGGAGATGACCAGGTTTGGAAGGGCAAGATGATGAACTGGTTTCGGACATAAGTGGAAATGGAAGGTTATAACTTTTTACCCATCTGTGGAACATTTAGATGACCAAATTGGTATAGAAAGGAAAAGACAACTGATAACGAGCATTTGACAAATTTCCCAGGTAAGTTCTGAAAATCAGGGGAGGGAAAGTAAGTTTATGAAACCATCTCTTTGATGCCTAAATCTAGTCATTTAAGACTTATTCGGCATCCTGTCATTGTCACCTCATTAATCCAGGTAAGAGAGCCCCACAAGAGGTGGCTTCTACCCTTTTTGTAAAAAATATTTATTTACTTGAGAGAGAGAGTGTGTACATGAGGTGGGGGAAGTAGGGAGAGGGAGAGAGAAAATCTCAAGCAGACTCCATGCTGAGCACAGAGCCCAGTGTGGGGCTCGCCCTTGCAACCCTGAGATCATGACCTCAGCCAAAAACAAGAGTCGGATGTTCAACCAACTGAACACCCAGGGCCCCTGGGGGCTTCTCCTTTGATCCCTATTCCTGCTAGATGCCTTATGAGGGACCCAGAGAGCTGCTGAGACTAAGACTGAAAGTTCAGAAAATGGCAATGTTTCACTTGACTAGATTAAAAGAAGATTCAGACTCACTGATATGCAGAACATGGTAGGGGGAAAAGGGGGGAAAGAAAGGAGAGGAATAATTCCTATTTTTTTTTCATGGGTGCTTCACATTCCTACAGCCAATTACCCTCCAAGAGGTAAAATGGGTAGCATGGTATATGCCCTTCATTTCCATAAAAATTAGAAAGAGTTTCACTAATTCTGGATAATACACACTAATACTTAGGATAGTGTTGATGAGAATGGAGGGGTTCAAAGATATAGGCAACTAGGATAATAAGAGAGCTTTTCCAGAAGCAAATCTAGAAGTTTACAAATGATGCGGTGCTGGTACAACCTAAAATGACACTGTGTCACCCTATGACTAGATCCCACGTTCCAGTAACATGTTGTAAAACAGCATCACTTGAACGTGCCTGGATGGATCAGTTGGTTAAAAGCAACTGCTTTTGGCTCAGGTCATGATCCTGGAGTCCTGGGATCAAGTCCTGCATTGGGCTCCCTGCTTGGTGGGGAGTCTGCTTCTCCTTGTGACCTCTCCCCTCTCATGATCTCTCTCTCTCTCTCTCAAATAAATAAATAAAATCTTAAAACAAACAAACAAACAAACAGCATCACTTGGGCTAAATCATACAATTAACTGAGATAATACATATTTAGTGCTTAGCTCAGTGCTAGCAGAGAATAAACATTCAACAAATGCTATTATTCATTCTATGCTGCCACTGGGCCAAAATACATTTGCCATATTGGTATGAATTATGTGACTGACTTGTAAGAAGTCTGAATGAAGGAGGGTATGCCTTTTACATTACCTGGATATTTTTCACAAAATTTTAACAAGGGGAGGGGAAAGTCATTCTATCCTTCGATCAAGGAGAACTTCAGCTTAAAATGTTCTAGACAAAATGTCATCACAGTGTGATGTGTCGTGAAACATGCTGGTATGAAAACAAAGATTTTAACATTCAAGAGGGAAAAAAAAAACCCTGATCTAATGATCAAAGAAAAGAGGATATACTCACTTGTCAACTGAGCTTTGGATAATTTTTCACCACAACTATAACCATGACTGCTCTCCTGTAGCTTTAGCCATTCCTGGGCTTGGAACAGGTAGAGTTTAGCTTCTTTTCCAACAGCTACTGCTATGTTGTTGATTCTGACACACAGAAGAGCATGGTCACCTTGACATTAAGACAAAAATTATTAAATTGTTTGGTCTTGTATGGAACTCACATGACAAGACAATTCAACACCTTTCTTTATTCATCAAAATAGGAATTTAAAAAGCAGAATATTTCCTTTTGCTTTTTAAAATTTTTTAAATTTAAATTCAATTAATTAACATATGGTATATTATTAGTTTCAGAGGAAGAGTTCAGTGATTCATCAGTCTTATAGAATATCCAAGAACACAGTTTTTCTTAAATCTCACTTAACTAGGTAGATCACATTGGAATGAACATCTCATTCAGGTGCAAATCAAAAGACTATTCATATTAATTATCCAAATTAATGTGTGGTATCTCCTTACACTTCCAATGAAAGATGATGCCATTTCACTGAATAAACAGCAACATCTGCTTATTTGAACATTCACCATAAGAGAATTCTACAACCACTCCACATCTTTACTATTTGTTCATAAACTATCTACAGAAATTTCCCACCAAAGTTCCTCTTGTTTTCTAATATAACATGTGAGTTAATATACTTTTAATGTAAAAAATACACATAGCTAATAGCTAGAAAGTTTAAACAAATGAGTTTGGAGGTAGACATTTTACACTTGATAAAAGATTTGACATCTTTGACTTTTACAAAGGAACTTGCAGAACAATGGATGTTGTGAGACATTATAAAATAAGCCTGGTTGTACACACGGAGTACACTGAAGGCCCTGAACAGAAATGGCAGAAAGTAGTTGCCTCTAGGGAAAGGGACTCTGGGTGAGAAGTAAAGCAGGAGACAGTTTTCAGTTTTCATTTTCAGTTTTCAGTTTTCATTTTAAGATCTCTTCTCCTCTCCTGTTGTCATGTTTGTTATAATTACCACTTTGACTAAACATTTTAAATAAATTCATGTTAGTATGTATCAAGGAATGTCCAAGTCTCCTACATAAATTGATTACATTATAAACTACCCAAAATTTTAGAAGTGACTTGAATCTTAACATCTTAAATCACATTCTGAATTAATTATTTCAGTATAACTTAGTATTATTATTTTACTGAATTCAAATTCACTGAAGACTGGAAATAATAAAAAAATTTATCTACATACACACACACACACACACACACACACACACACACAGAAAGAGTGTGTATGTGTGTTAACGTACTTGGAACACTCAGGTCCTTAATCTTCCTTGAGATATCTGGATTATCTACCTAAGTTCCCCCTCCATGTTTACCAAGTAATCATGAAATATCCGGGTTTTCTAAGTCCCTCTGCTACTGATAACCCACATCATGGCTTCCATATATCCCAGATTTTCTAGCACTGTCCAGGTTGTGTTATTTATTGTAGTGTCTTTGCTATCACTGTCAATATTCAAAGAACAGTTACAGCCAACTGATTAAAAAAAAAAACTAAAAATGTGACCTAAAAAATAATAATAAAGTGTTTCTAGAGTTTCTTCTTTACCCAACGTCTGTGCCACATAGGATATTGGAAAACTGGTTTGTATTCATTTTCTCAGCTATTTTAAACACTTTGATTTAAAAAAAATTTTTTTTTCAGGTTCCCCTCCATTTACACCAATTCTGTAATTCTGCAATACTTTAAATTCCTTTCCTACACCAAAATAGCTTCTTGTCTCTATTACCTTCTCTGGGACAACAGTCTGACATTGCATCTTTTAACGCTAAAAACTGTACTAATCAAGGATACCATCCTCATCAGGGCAAATAATTATTTGGAATACAATACCAGTCAATTAGAGTACCAAAAGTACGAACCAAGAAAATCACTTAAATTTCGAGAGTGCAGGTAAAGCAAAAATTAGAATGAATTGCAAATTCATTCATTTAAGACATTGATTTTTGAGGGAGACCAGGAAGTCAGAATCAAATGCAGTTCTCGTTTCAGAAAGGCCAGAAAGGATACAATTATGAAGAAGCTTCCAGAACACACTTACATGCATTTCTGTCAAGTGAATTCTAGGCCTCCTGATCCATGGTAAATCCACTCCTTTAGTAGTGGGGTAACCAAACCGTCCCCCCTTGGGACCACTAGATTAGCAAGTATTTTATTTGGTTTCCAAACGTCTCTGCTTCGAGTAGGTTTTAGCAAATTATCTTAAAAACAAAAACTAAACCCAGTAAATCTAAGTTCTGGAGCTTAAATGCACCCATAAGTACAGTGTCTTAGTGTATATAACCAGGCTGAGACAGGACTGAGCAAAGGATGCTTCCTTGAGGGAAGGATCTCGAAAGATGCAGCAGAGGAAGTCCTCGGTACTTTGGTCCGTGTGGGGAGGGAGGGGGAAACGGTGTTTCAAGTGCAGACCACAGTCACTAGTCGGGGGAGGGTGCAGACCAGGGAGTGGGGAGCAGCGACAGCACGGCGGGCGTTAACGCATCCCCGGATCCCGGCAGCTGCGGTCGCGGGCGGGCTGGCGGCTATGCGGGAAGTCCAGGTGCAGCCGGGGCAGTCCCCCGCGTCGCGGCCACCGGCTCCAGGCCTCCCCCAGCGAAGCGGGGAGGCGCTGCCCGCGGGATGGGCCCACGCGCCTGCATCCCGCTCCCCGCCCCCGCACCTACCGTGGAACTCGAAGTGGCCGATGCTCTGGCCCTGAGCGTCTCGGGCCGCGGCGCTGCTGAAGCTGCCCCGCAGGGTCTTACCCTGGCTGCCCGGCGGCCACCAGCAGCAGGCGAGAGATACCGCCAGCAGCCGCAGGGCTCCCATCCCCCCCTCTCCCTCGCGGCACCTACACCTGGGCTCCAACCGCCTGCGGCCGCCTTCCCCACGTCGGCAGCCGGGGCCGAGGGAGGAGGGAGCAAGACCGGCGTCCCGGACCCGCCCCCGGGAGACTGACAACCTATGTGGCAGGCGCCTCCGCCACGAGCCAAGTACACCCACCAATCAGAGGCCGAGATGGGCGGGACGTGTGGAGGCGCGCGTCCCATCACTCCCCAGCCTGCCGGCTAGTTCCCGCCTTTTTTATGGAGACTCGGAAGGATGTTGCCTCCGGTTACGCAAAAAGCCTAGCCCTCCGCTGTCTCCGTGCGTGGTACTACTGCGCATGCGCCAGTCTTCGGAGGACTTTCCAGGGAGTTTGTAGGGTTCTAGAAGAACTGAGAAGAAGCGCACGATGGCAGCGGTTCTGGTGAGGAAAAGAAAGCTCCCGCAAAGGCCGAGGTGCCTATGCAAACTACTGGACGTTTCCGTTTTAGTGTCCGAAAGACACGTAGCTGTAACTGTACATGTCCAAGTTTAATGCAAGAATTCTCTTGGCACATCTAACCGAATTTAACTTCTTTGGTTACCTGTCTTCTTGAATTATATAGTCAGACAGCTGCGAAGTACAGTGTACACCCATAATCCAATTATCTCAATGAAACATGTCTATTACCCCCTCTTCTGGGAGGCGATGGTAGGAAGCAGCTGCCACTCTTGATATCCAGGCCATCCTGGTCTCATCTTACTTGTCCTGTGGCACAGTCTTAATTTTCTCCAGTTGGCCACACACAGCCCATCTCTACCCTAGAGCCACAGAAAGCTTTGAGAAACAAAATTTGACTGCATCACTTCCTTCAAAGGTTTTTGATCACCTGTAGTACACAAGCCAGACTCCAGACTATAGCTTTCGAGTCTCTCCAATTTCCAACTCGACTTTTTGTCTCCATCCTTACCGAGCCACTGTCAGCTCGCTGAACACCCCAAGTTCTCCTGTCTGAGCCTGTAGCACTCGAGATCCACTGTATTTAAGAAGTGAGATAGTATTATTAGATTGTGTGCACGTTTTCGCTACTACATATAAACAATATATCGGTGAACATATTTGTGTTTTTCTGCAATTATCTATATTATACATCATGGAATTTGGGAATCATATGTTATGCGCATTTGATCTTTTCCTATATGTTACCACTTTGTCCCCCCCAAAAGGTTGTAACAAATGATGTTTCCATATATACTGGGTATTCTCATTCTTTTTATACTTTGCCAACACATTATATGAAAAAAGAAAAAAAAACAGGATATTTATTTATCCATTCAACATTAATTTATCATTTATTCTGTGCCAGGCCTGGTCCCCCGGCCTTGGGATTATAGCAGGAAACAAAACAAAGACCCTGCCCTCTCTGGCCAGTACCAACGATCAGTTCAACATAAATGTTGATGACTGCTATGGAGAAAAAAGAAAGGAGCATAAAATGGTTAAGCAGGGCTGAGGTAGAGCTTGCTATTTTAATTGGGGTGGTCAAGGAAGGACTCTCTACAAGGGTGACCTTCAACCTGAGAACTGAAGAAGTAAGGGTAAAAACTAGGCAGGCATCTGGGGAGAGGGCATCCAGGCCTAAGGGAAGTCACATGCTTGACAAATTCAAGGCGAAACAAGGAGGGCAGGCAGGGTGAGCAAGAACAGTAGGGGTAGGATCTAGGGAACCTCTTTACCAGGACTGCCAGCAGCCTGATTTGTCGGTAATGATATTAACAACAAAGCAAAACGCATTTTGCCGTTGCGAACTCCCATTTCCACACTTTGCAAGCAGAGAACTTCTGAAGTTCTCGGCTCAACCAGAGAGTCATCTGTGGAAATTGTCCAGCAGTACAAGAATGAAAAGAAGGTAATCGTTCATAACTCCGACCATCTGCGTACCCAGGTAAAGCCTGATCCATTCTGGCGTCCCTTGACACAAAACATTCCTGACCCCACTTCCCAGCCACCTCAATTACGCCTAACGGGCCCTGTTTGGGAAAGAGAAGAGCTGCGCCTGCGCAGTAGCGTGGCGCTGCCCGCGCACCCGAGGGCCCCGCCCAGCGTGCAAGGGGGCGGGGATAAGCGGGCCCGTCTCCGGAAGCTGCTGCCACCTTCCCCACTGACGTGTCGGGGCCGCGAGACGCGTCGCGCAAAGTCGCGGTGGAACTTCGCTGCGGTGTACAGATCTGGCGCTTGACGCTGCCGGGCACTGCTGAGGTGGGAGATGTCGGCTGCGGGCCGGACGGAGCCCTTGGGTCCTCCCAGCGGCTTTGCGAAGCGGCTCCTGGTGACCGGGGGTGCTGGTTTCATGTAGGTAACGGCGCCGCTGGACGAGGAGTGGCTCCCCAGAAACCCCAACCTTTTCCTGCGCCTCTGCTTGCTCTTGGCAACTTGGAACCAGCTTGGGGGGGTCTGATATGGGAGGGTCTTAACGCACGAACAATATCAGCCTACCTTCTTCCCCCTCTCCCCGCTTGCGAAGTCTTGGTTCCTTTGAAACCGCGACTTCTTTAAGGCGCCTGCCCACCAAAGCTGAAGCGGTGTGGTGCTCTCTGCCTTCTTTCCTGGCCCGGGATGCACCTGACACTCTTCCGAATGCCCCCACATGGCAGTAAACTCCTCACCAACTGCCCCAGCCTCCAGCCCGCCCTCTCCGTACGCAGACAGGCCAAGAAACGATTTTTGGATTATAGCAGGACATTCATTTATTCAGCGGGCTATAAAACAACAACGACAACAACACCACACCCTCTCTTGGTGCTTTGAGCTGGACGAGTTGAGCGATGCCTCTTGCCCTCCCACACCCATATGCAATCAGTGAGTCCTCGTTCACTGCTTCCCAAGCGACCACTTCTCGCCCCTTCCCCCTCCCATCCTAGTCCACGTTACTGGCTTCTGCCTAGATTGCTACTGTAGCTTTCTGATTGGTCCTACTGCTTCCCCCCTTGTTGGCTGAAAGTCTGTTCTGCCCACAGAAGTCAGTTTTTATTAAGTAGATAAGCGCACAAAGTTTTACCCACAAAGTTTTACCCCAGCCTGTCAAACTTAGAATAAAATTAAAATAAAACTCTTTTGCATATCTAGAAGACTCAAGTGCTCCAGGGCCTGATCTTCCAACCTGATCTTCCATTCTGCCTCTTTGTTTTTCTGTACCTGCCGCACTTAACCTTTTTGGAATTTCTGGAACGCATGAGGCCCATTCCTCCTGTCGAGGCCTTTGCACTTGCTTCCCCTTTGGTTAGAGCGCTTGCATCACTCATTTCCGATGGTTGCGTAGACATCGTTTCCTGGGACAGGCATTACCTAGCCATCCTATCTAAAAGTGCCCTTTCCCAAGTAACACACTAATCACTATCTGAAGTCTGAAGTTATTTTGTGTATTAGTGTTTACTGGCTTCTTGCCTGCATCCCTGCTCTAGAATGTAAACTGGATGAGGGCAGAGACTACTGTTCCCCTCAGCATCTGTAAGAATGCCTGGCTTATTCTACAAAGGTCTTCGGTAGTTATTGAATGGATGAATGCGCAGGTACCAACAGGAAACTCCCAATGTCTAGTGGAAGAGAACATGGGAACATGGGAATCACGTCCCCCATTGGCATATTAAGTCACCTCTTTAAATCTGACAATAACTTGGAGGAGGGTACCAGGCAGGCAGGGTTTATCTAATAAGAAGAGGGGCATGGCCATAAAAGGGTGGTACTTGTGTGAGAGTGCTGGTCCCAGAAGGGCAGGTTCTAGAAAATGCTGTGAAAGGGCTGTCAAGTACAAACTCTGAGTTCATAATTTGGTCAAGGGCTGCCCTTATTCCTGGGAGCCGAATGTTTTGGTGTCTATGAGGAAATCTGGTGGACCATCTCACTGAGAGATGCCTCTGGTTCCACTCCTGGTCCTGGGAAAACCAGGAGCCAATATGGTTACCCAACTCAGGATGGCCTCAGCCATTATTAGCTTGGAAACCTAGGTTTAATCTAGAACCTCCCTGAATTTTCTAGTTTACCACCATATTCTTGTACCAGGAGATAGTAATTGCAGTAGGGTTACTGTGAACATAAACAACTGTGCTCATGCTAAGTGAAGTTTTGCACAGTTATACCCACGGTCTCTTAAAAGGTACATTATAGTTTCAGTCTACCTGTACTGACCACCACCCATTGTACTTATCATCCTGCTTCACTCCCACACTAAAAGCACGTGGACACAAATTGTTTGGTTAAACAATTTTTTTTCCTTATACCCAGGGCCAGTAAATTCTCTTTTCTCCACAGTGCCAAAGGATATTGATATATCAATACCAATTATTGATCCTCTTGAGAAAGTTAGTGAAAAATGGTGGGGGTGGGGGAGGAAGTGTATTCAGTGTACTTATTTCCGTTATTTTGCAGAAACTTAAAGATATCTCTGAATAGTTTCTAATACTCGACAGGTTAAGGTAACATTTAGGAAATGTGAAGAATTTAGGGAAAAGGTTACATCTTCTACTAACAAAATACACTTTTTTTTTTTTTAAAGCGCATCACATATGATTGTTTCTTTAGTAGAAGATTATCCAAACTATATGATCATAAATCTAGACAAGGTGAGTTTTATAAAAATGAGCTTCATGCACTGATACTTATATACATTTTTTTAAAAGTATTAGAATCTTATCCTGCTGATATTTTAGTTTTTATTTGGTCATTTTAGCAACTTAGGGATCTACATAGTCATGTGATCATGCTATATTTAATCTTAGTCTTTTAGAAGTTTTTCATTATGATAGCCCATAAAGTAAAGCTTTTAAGTGCAGTATTTTTATCAGAAGAATATCTTCAACCCTAAGTTCAATATTTAGTGTAATCTTGTGATTATTAATCTTTTTCTGGAATTGGGATACTTTGATTATTTGATTTTATTATTTTATTATTTGATATTATAACTGCCACCCTCTGGAAAATTACATACTTATTTCTTAAATTAAAACTAATTGAGTTTTGAGGATTTTTCTGTAATAATTGAAGTCTCCCTGAAGAGTCTGAAAGCCATGATTGGTAATCACTGGATTTTTGACTTGAAACACAAGACGCAGTTACCTTAATTTCATAAGACGTAATAGTAAAAATCTATAGACAGAATTATCTGTAGGTCTTACCAATTTTTGCCTGCCTTACTATCAGAGACAGTAATTTTTTCCCCCTTTGTACAGGGATTTACCAACAATTAACTCTGAAAACAGTGTAATGAGTTATAATATGCATAACAAAGGTGTAATTGTTTTCAAGTACTAGTTCTTTTGCAGTAAGAAATGGTAAGCTTTTCTGGTGGCCTGGGGCAAATCTGGGCCGGAAAATTTTTTAAAGGAAGGGTTTCTAAAAAGTAATTTTTTGTATTTTCAAAAAGTAACAAGATTACATGGTTTTTGTTTTTTACTTTCTAATATACCAGAGACTTCTTCTAAAAGCAAAGAGCAAACCCTTTAGGAAAACATGTTTTCATATTACGATCAGAATAGCTACAGTTTTTTAAAATAAATCGATATTTTATAGGAAAAACTATTATCACTTTTGGTGTTGTTTCTCTCCCTCTCCCTCACTTACTTATTTTAAGCTGGATTACTGTGCAAGCCTGAAGAATCTTGAAACCATTTCTAACAAACAAAACTACAAATTTATACAGGTATGAAACTTTTCTTATAATTATTTAAGTTTTATGCTGTGCCTCTGTAGCCATTCAGACATTGTTTCTACTTGGCAAGCTTGTGTAGTGTGGGCTTGGAAAGCATGCTTATTGAAAACCTTCTAATTTCCAGAAGTACCATGTGCTACAGAGACTACTACTTTTAGATTAATACCACTATAAAGCTGTGTGTGATAGTTGGTGCCTTGGCAGCTCTATGGATAGGTGACTGACCTTACATGGTTTATGATTTTTAGGTTCTCAATAGCCTTCTTAATGAGGTCTTGCTGGGTTTTAAAGAGATTAGTGTAAGGGGGACTGTTACTTAGGCCAGGCAACAGCCAAAGAGCCTATCATAACAGCCCGTGGGCTAATGTTCTTCAATCAGAGTGGATTGATTGGCTCTAGAGGGCTCATTTACTAGGCACTCTTAGAAGAGTCCAAAGTATAAACCAGAGAGCCAGGTCATTAATTTGCAAAGGGAAATTTTAATGTCAAATGAAACTATTTAATGATTTATGGTTTGTTTTTTTTTTTTTAAAGATAATCTATAAACTCTCCTTTTCACCACAAATTATAAAGAATATACTGAGCACACTCTTCTATATGAAAGCGTTTCTTTCAGTCACCAAAGAATTGTTGAGAATACCTATTTTTAGAAGAGTTAAATGTACATATAACATCGTAAATCCTTTTACGAGTTCACTTAGTTCACTCAGTTGTGGTGAAACACATTTTTAAAAATGTGGTTGTAAATGGTTACACTTACTTTAAATGTATTGCAATAATGGTTACCTCAAACTTTAAAAATATGTTTACAAAAATCTCCTGTTAACATGAGGTTGGCAAAAATGTTATGGGAAAAAGCTAGCTTGGTTTTTAGTTGTCATTGGTGCTCAATAAAATACGGTTTTGGACACATATTTGCAAATAAGTATTTTGAATTGATTATCTTATATCCTTAGATGCTGGAGAAATACCTCATTACTATACTTATTTGACCCCTTGGTTGGATTTTCAAGATAATCTCTATTAAAGCAGGGTGGTGGGGGGAGATTAATTTTTTTCTTATCATTGTTTTGGTTCATGTAGTAAAATGGTTATTACCAATGGCAGTGCTGAGTAAAACTTCGCTTTTTCCTGTTTTCTTTTTTGTATAGGGTGACATATGTAATTCTCACTTTGTGAAACTGCTTTTTGAAACAGAAAAAATAGATATAGTACTACATTTTGCTGCACAAACACACGTAGGTAAGCATTGTTTTATATTACAGTTACGATGGGCAAATTTTTTCCCGGTGACTAATTACCCTAAATCAAAGTCCATTATTGAAGTCAAGCAAGTAGGGACTTAATATGTCTTTGAAGGAGCACATACCATGCTCTTCCAGGAAAACTGCATGCTTTTCCAGTCACTTTTATTAATGTAGGTTGAAATATAACCTTGAATGCTATCTTAAAACATTGAGTTTAACTAAATGCAATATAGTAATAACTTCTGGGGAGATGGGCCTTCACCTATATTTTTAATGTGCGTGCGTGTGTGTGTGTGTGTTTTTTAAGCTGGGTGGGGGATACACTGTTGAACATTATATTATCCGTAGTCGTCTGTGCATCTGCGATATCTTCTAACTGTCTACCATTTTATATTGTGCAATATACCATACATTCAGAAGAATTTAGAAGTAAAGCTAAATGATTAATGATAATGTGAATACCCATAAAGCCATCACCTAAACAGAAGATAGAATATTGTTGAATCCTCATTAGTGGTATATTACTGCCTTGTTACTTGATTTTAAAATTATAATTTCCCTTGGTCTCCTCCGTAGTATATTTAGGAGATTATTCTGTTGCAGAATATAACATATTCCTCATTCCTTTTTATTTTCATATGCTCCGTTATGTAGCTGTACCCCATTTGTGTTCGTTTCCTGCATTTTGCTAGTTAAATAGTACCACAGTGGATGGCTTCATGCCTGTGTCCTTGTGTATACTTGCCAACTGATGTTGGGTAGGGATTCCTAGAAGGACAAATTCAGGATGAATTAGTTTGTTAGGGCTGCCATAACAAAATACCAGAGACTAGGGGCTTAAACAACGGAAATTTAGTTCTCACCTTTCTGGATGCTGGAAGTCCAAGCGCCAGCAGGCCAGTTTCTCCTCAAGCTTCTTTCCTTGGCTTGCAAGTGACCACTCCCTCTCCGTGTACTCACACAGTTTTCCCCCTGAGCATCCCTAGTGTTTCTCTTTGTGTCAAAATGTCTTCTCTGAAACATACCAGTCATGGTGGACGAGGGACCTGGATGGCCTTATTTTTATTTAAGTACCTCTTAAAGGCCCTGTCTCCAAATATAGGCACATCCTGAAGTACTTGGGGTTAGGGTTCCATCATGAATTTGGGGGGAGCACAATTCAGCCTGATAACCAGGGTAAAGGGGTAAAGGCATACGTAATTCACCTGGCTATTGAGAAATTTCCTTCCTTAGGGGTTGAAAACACTTTGCATTCTTACTTGTAATATATAAAGTATCTTTTCCCCCAGAGCCTCACCAACAGAAGGTGGTGTCAAATTTTTTAATTTTTGCCAATCTGATAGGTAAGAAGTGGCATCTCTGAGATTTCATTTTGAATTTTTCTTATTGTAATTGAGGCTGAGCATCTTCAGCTTAAGGACCTTTGTATTTCTTGTCTAAACTACTTGTTTATGTCTCCTATCCAAAAGGGTTGTTTCCTTTTATTTTATAGAACTTCTTTTTAGATTGAATATATTAGCCCTTTGTTTCTGATAAGTTCAAATATTTGTCCCAGTTTGTCATTTGTCTTTTAAAAAAAATTTTTTTTTAATTTCTTTTCAGTGTTCCAGAATTCATTATTCATGCACCACACCCAGTGTTCTATGCAATACGTGCCCTCCTTAATACCCACCACCAGGCTCACCCATCTCCACCCCCCGGCCCCTCCAAAACCCTCAGATTGTTTTTCAGAGTCCATAGTCTCTCATGGTTCATCTGTCATTTGTCTTTTTACTTTGTTTATAGATTTTTCTGGTTGGTTGTTTTTTCTGTGCAAGAACTTTAACATAGTTGAACTGATCAGGTTTTGTTGTTTTTTTTTTTTCCCCTTTTGCTTCTGGATTGTGAGCCATTTTTAGTAAAGTTCCCCTCATTCCCAGATTATAGAGAACCGTTTCTTCAAGTAAATTTATTTTAAAAATAATTTATCAAACATTTGTTGTGTCTTCAACAATAACAGATTGATCTGAAAAGCCTTGCCATCTATGAAACTGGAAGTTTCAAGTTTTAAATTTAAGAACATTTTAAATTTAGATGTATCCTTTTTTTTCTTTTTAGAATAAAAAAAAAAAAAGTGTTTCCCGCAAATTTAGCACTGATAGTTTTCTAGGTTCTAAGAATTTACATATGCTTCACAGTTTAGGCTTAAAGCAATTATAAATAGCAATGTGTTTTTGTTATTTTTTTTTAAACTTTTGCAGTTGTGGTGAATGAAGAGAAGTGAATAGAACTTTCCTTAAACCTGAGTCTACTGTTGGGTATTTGTTTTGTCCCTTGGGTGGAATTATTCTAGATTTCTCTCTCTCTCTCTCTCTTTTTTTTAGATCTTTCATTTGTACGTGCATTTGAGTTTACGTATGTTAATGTCTATGGCACTCATGTTTTGGTGAGTGCTGCTCACGAAGCCAGAGTGGAGAAGTTCATTTACGTGAGCACAGATGAAGTTTACGGAGGCAGTCTCGATAAGGTAAGCTCAGAAATGGTAGGTTTCTCCTGCTTACCATTGACCACGATGCAAATCTGTTTTCTTAGAATCTCTTCTGGGTTTCTTTCATCCCCTCATGACACACACTGTGGGACTCTCCAACATGTTATTCCTTTGTGTCTTCTGTTCAGACCAAAGAATGTCACCCCGAATGACAACAACCACCTAGTCTTGGTACAAATTTATATGTATTTTGACTGACAATATTTTGCAAGAGCAGAACATCCCACCTTTCTGTCCCAGGACATATATGACAAATGTCCTTCCCATGGGCCAGGCGTAGGTAACTCGACTGCAGCATACTACCTGCTCACCTTCCTCCTCCCCTCAGGAAGCGGTGGAACATCAAGGAGTAAATGTGAAATTAGTGTAGGAACTGGCGTCTGTTCTTTTTCAATCGTTTGTACATATTGTACTTTTTCTGCAAAAGATGTCTCCATTCTCATCCGTATTTTTCATCATCACTGTTTTCAACAAGTGACCTCATTCTGTTTTATATTTTTACCAAAACACATACATGGTGAAAAAAAAAATCAAGGATTTTGAAACAACTTCTAATGAGAAAAAGCAGACCCTGAGCACTTCTCCTCAGTATCCAGTCCCACCTGTGAGAAGCTATTATTCTCAGTTCTCATTGCAATTTTTGTGAGGTGAACTTTTTTCTTCTTGTACCTTTGTCACCCTACATCAGATCTGACACAGTAGCCAGAATGATTTTTAAAATAAAAGTCAGATCATGACATTACTCTGCTCAAAACCTGTTCATATTGTTACACTGGCCTTCAAGGTTCTACATGGTCTGGCCACCCTCCAGCTATCTGGCTTCATCTCCCATTTCTCTTCTCTCACATCAGCCTCCTTGCAGTTCCTTTGAACACAATTCTGTCCCAGGACCTTTGCACTTGCTGTTCTCTCTGCCTTTCTTAGAGGGTTGCTGTGAATGCTACTATATAAAAAATGCTTAGAAAAATGCCAGGGATGTAGTTGGGGTTCAATAATGTCTTTTAACATGTAGTAATTAACATTTCAAGTTTATTATATGTTTTCTTATTTTTTCTACTTAGAAACTATGCATAATATGTATTTTTAATGCATTTTTTTGAAATTAGGAATTCGATGAATCTTCACCCAAACAACCTACAAATCCTTATGCATCATCTAAAGCAGCTGCTGAGTGTTTTGTACAGTCGTACTGGGAACGATATAAAGTAAGAGCTGATTTCAGAAACTCTTGAATCATTTTTCTTTTGACTTAGGTGATAAAACTCCAAGTTAGCATTAGCCACATTCCATTTTTAAAATTGAAGACATAGATTCAGGAGTTTATATATTAAGGAGTTTAAAATATTTATTTTCTATATCATGTGGACAAAGTAGGACCTACTTCTTGTTTAGTTCACCACTTAAAGGAATCATTTTTATATATGTTTTCCCACTTCAGTGGTACATGAAGTATTACAGCTGTAGGGAAAAGCCCTATTGGAATATCCTGATTCCCAGAATCCTCCGGGGGGAAGAAGACAGAGTAGGGCAGATTCCGTGACCTGCACGTGCTCCCCTCTGCCTGATTCACCTCTCTTGGCTCCTCATGAATGGGAGTTGACATTTTCTTGCCTTTTGTGTTCCATAGCGTTGACCCTTTGCCCTTTCATGGTAGCTCTTTTTCTTTGTAAGCGTTGGTGCATCAGAGAAAGACAATGTGAAGTTTCACATCTAACCAAACCCAAGGTCTGAGACGCAGTCTCTGAAATCATCTGGTAGAAATTCCCTTGATTTTCTGCTCGCAAACCTAACCAACCTGCCCCCATCTATATTCATCCTGCTCTTGTCCCAGGAAAGAAAATATTCCTCTTTCTTTTAGGAGCCTCTGCCTTTCTCTGAGTCCTATCCTCTCCCATATTTTCAGGAACCTTACATCAGAAAAAAAAAAAAAAAAGCCCTTCACTTCTGTCCTTGATGTGTGTGGAGTCACTTAGCTGCAAGTGCCCATTTTTCAGGACTTCTTTAGAGAATCATTACAATTGGGCCTCTTACTGCGTTAACGTTGACTACTCTTTAAGTTTCCAGCTGTCATCACGCGAAGCAGTAATGTTTACGGACCACATCAGTATCCCGAAAAGGTACATTTTACTTGTGAGTCCACACTGTGTTTCAGTGATTGTAGCTTCTCGTTATTGAAGATAATCCCTCTTCAGTTATTTGTCTGAAATAATTTCTGCTGTAATTATACATAATTAGAAGCACTGTATGGGCCACATGCAAATCTCATCAGGTGTAGAGTCTGAAGACCCGAGTTGAGGTCTTAACCTGACACGGGCTGGTGTGACCTTGGGCCCTTGGAGCATCGTCTTTAAACTGGGGGATAGTGAAAACACTCAGAAGGGATTTTGAAGGATTCAGTGAGATCACAATGTGAAAATGCCTGGTGCTCTTCACGATTCTGAAGCTCTACAGAGCATTCCCTTCGCCCCTGCCATGCTGCTGAAGACTCCTTCCTGGCTTGCGTCCAGGAATTTGAGAGCTAGTTAGAGAGTCCTGCGGGAAGCTGGTACAGAAATTTGTCTTCCCGTCAGCCGGTGCACTGTTTTCCCCAGCTCCTCTTTATAGTTGCTGGCCTGAATGTCTTCCAGAAAATAGTACGAGTCGTGAATAAAGAAATGTACTTAAAAGGCCGAACCAACTGTGCAGTTGGTTCTGTATCATTAAACCTAATTTGAACGAACCATTGCCTTCTGTGCCTAAAAATTGGGAGATGGGATTTTTCACTTTCCAGCTGGTTGCATTGATCTCTTTGGCCAAGGAAAGGGGCCATGTCATGATCTGTTGGTCTTAATGTCTCCTTTGCTTAATTTGGGGAGTACCTTTCAGAGGTGCTTTATAAGGTGAATAATATATCTCACCCTGTTTAACATAACCTTTCTTTAAATTCAGTGGAACTAGAATTTACTTTTTATTCATTTCACAAGCACTGATTGGGTAGGTGCTGTGCACAAGGCAGTAAGTAGGCTATGACTCCTGTCCTCAGGAAATCAAAGGTGGACTTTTGTGGTGAGGCCAAACTGTTCATGAAGACCTTTTCTGAATTTTTACACTATTTGTATCATTTTGTCTTTATATTTGTCCAGCAGATGTCTTGTTTTTGTGAAATAGGAGGCTATCGTAGAATTCTTTCACTTATCAAAATTACAATGGCTTTTTTCTTGAAACTGATAAAAAGTTAGAATTTATCTATATGCATATTTCTTAATAATCATAATCTTTTAATCTTATGATGAGTTAGATTCATATTAATGAGTGAATTTCCAATATCTGAAATGATATTTAAATATTCTTTTAGGTTATTCCAAAATTTATATCTTTACTACAACACAACAGGAAATGGTATGTTATTATTTACCTTTGTACCCATATGTTTTTCTGGTATGTGGAAAATATTTGGTGACAGCCTATCTTGAAAATCATAAAGTCTTAAGAATTGAAGACCATAGAATTGAATGTTTCAACAGATGTATGTATTCTTTCTACACTCAATGTGATGGTTCTTTAAATAATTATAATCTGTTACTCATCTTTATGATTTACTTAGATAACTTGAAATTTCTTTAATAATTTCAGTTCTTAAATAATGTAGCCTAGAACTTGGAATTATCTCATTAAGATGCAACATCTTTATATAATTTTGCTTTTCCAAAGGATTTATTTAATTCACTGAGCTATACATATTCCTTCAAAATGAACTTAAGGTAAAAATTGATGAATAAGTTATTTCTGAGGGATCATTTATATGTGTGTTACTTCCTTACTGAGTGCTGCATGAGGTTCGGTGGTCATTTAAAAATTCTGGATAAAATTTAGAAAAGTCATGAGAATAAGTGTTTTCGGTAAAAGCTTTCTAGGCTCCCCAATGAAATTGGCTTCTCTGGAATTGTATCCAGGCGTTGTGTTACCCTGGTTTGGGAGAGCTTTTTACACTTTATGATTCCCTTTCATTTAATCTTTTTAGCTGCATTCATGGATCAGGGCTTCAAACAAGAAATTTCCTTTATGCAACTGATGTAGTAGAAGCATTTCTCATTGTCCTCAAGAAAGGGAAACCAGGTGAAATTTATAACATCGGAACCAATTTTGAAATGTCAGTGCTCCAGCTTGCCAAAGAACTAATACAACTGGTATGCATATATTTTAAGAGGGTAGTGTTTTCAAAATGGTCACTAAATCAGTGGCAGTCATCACTCATTTAGTCAAAATCAGCAGTTTATAATTTACTCAATTAGAAACTGAATGAGTAAAAAAATGAAAAGTAACATGAAGATATATCATTATTGGAAGTTATATCACTCATTTTTAACAGCTTTTCGGGAAAGTAAAAATCCTAACAGATTGGATGTAGAAACTTATTGTAATAAATACCTCAATGTCAGAAATACAAAACGGTGTGTGCTAATCTTAAGGATTGATGATATGGAAGTAATTATAGTTAGGAGTGTATGTACGTATTAGTGAACATCAATTCTCAGTCTCAGGATTCAGTAGTAAGGGAGACTTGGTGTGTGGAAATACTTTCCTTTGCTCGGCTCTCGGAATACTCTGTACTCCAAACATGTGGGTTTTCCACACCAAGAAATTCGCAGAGACAAGCTGGGTGGCCTATTATTTAACTCAATTCTGACGTTATCTGCCTGGAGATGGCTCCAGATCCCATAGACTAAAGGCTCAGACCTCCAGGACTCTCCCCTGCTTCACGGGCCAACCACAAAACCTGGTTGTCATTTGGGCTTCTGACCACTGACTGACGATCAGCAGAGGTGCTTAGCCGGAGTGACTCACAGTTTATTTTCTAGATTATTGGCTCATTGCAAGGGATAGAACTCAGGAACAGCCAGACGGAGGAGATGCCGGAGCATGGACTGACCATGCACTGACCTGGCCCACCACTGACCCAGCACCACCATGTTTTCTGCAGCCCAGAAGTTCTCCAAACCCCATTGTTTTGGTTTTTCATAGAGACTTCCTTAAGTAGGCATGATTGGTTAAATCATTGACCACTGGCTATTAATTCAGGCTCCAGCCCTCTAAGCACAGGCTTGGTTCCCTTGGCCACCAGTCCCCATCCTTTAGGGGCCTTCCAAAATTCACTCATTAACATAACCTTGGTGTGTTTGAAAGGAGCTTGTTGTGAATAGCAGAAGGCACTTTTATCTCATGTCACTTAGGAAATTCCAAGGGTTTTAGGAACTTGGATAAAGACCGTATTCTTTGTGAGCTTCAGATGGAATGTGGGTTATCAAGCATGGAAAGTGTTCCTAAAATGTTCTTCATTTTAGCTCCCTCCCCCACTTTGAAGGGGTTATTTTTTTTTAAAAGATGTATTTATTTATTTTAGACAGAGAGCTAGAGATGGGGGGAGGGGTAGAGGGAAAGGAAGAGAGAGTCTTCACGCAGACTCTGTGGGGCTCAATCTCATGACCCTGTCTGAGATCATGACCTGAGCCGAAACAGGAGTTAGACGCTTAACCCAGTGCATCACTGAGGCACTCCGAAGGGGGTGTTTTTCTGGTCTCTTTAATCAGCTATTGAATACCTTTGTTATTCTCTGGTCTCACTTTATAATTTTGACTCAAAAGCCTTTTCCATTTTGACAGATCAAAGAGACCAGTTCAGAGTCTGAAATGGAAAACTGGGTGGATTATGTGAATGATAGGTGAGTAACAAGTTAAAGCCTTGGGGAAAGGTTGTGAAATCTTAGATACTTACATAATTCTAAAATATATGGACTTAACCAGAAACTAGTGTTATCGCTCTTGATTTTTCCACTGAAATATTTTTTTCCTAATTGCGTATCAAAAGAATAAAGTATAACATTATTGCTTACTAGCTGTGTGACTTAAAGAAAGTTACTGACCTTTTCCAAGTCTGAGGTCTTCTGGAGTGTGAAATATGAATAATAATGTCTTGTTAACAGAAGTATTTAAAGGTTTATTATAACGTATATAAAGTACCTGACCTAGGGTATGGGACATAAGAGCCCTAATATATTTATGTGGACTTATTCATTCATCAAACATTTAGGTATGAGGCATTGCGTTCATACCCAGATCATGGCTGAAAGCAGAAAAGGATGAGCCATAGAGAGGGTTAGGCATCTGGGATTCCAGATGATTTTTTTCAACGTGTACTTTATTTTACAAATTTTCTCTCAGTATGTCATCAAGGAGAATTTTTTTAAGAAAAAATTTGAATTATGGCAAAGGTTCATGAGCACACATTAGTTCTCTTAGTATTTAAATTTGTAAATATGTATCCACAATGTCATTTTAAATCTTTATTTTTTTTTTTTTCCTTTTTTGAGACCTACCAATGACATGAGATATCCAATGAAGTCAGAAAAAATACATGGCTTAGGTTGGAGACCCAAAGTGCCTTGGAAAGAAGGAATAAAGAAAACAAGTATGTTCTGCATTGATACTTTCTGGGGAGGGGGTGAGATTCAGAAAAATTTAAAGGAAATGTAATTTACTTTTAGAACACTATAAATTCAGTAGAGTGTGGTGATGAATCATTTTCACTTTTCAAACTGTTACATTTCATGTATTTCCAGCAGCAACAGTAACATCTCCTACGCGTGTTGTATTTCACATACTGACTTCTACTCAGGCTTCCTGTGTCTTATCAGCATTTGTCAGATACCTAGTTCATTGGTTCTCAGGTGCAGACTTTTCACTTTTTTCCATATCCTTTAAAGGTGTGAATTTTAATGTTGCCGGTGTTTTCTTCTTATTGCATTTTCCTTTCTTTCTTCGGAATATGTAAAATAACAGTCCATTTTAAGGTCCGTGGCATCTTCAATTTGAGGAGCGATCGAGTTGCAGTCTTTGAGTGTCTTAAGTCTTTTTATGTTGAAACCAACAAAATTTAGTATGTGCAGAAATAGCCATTAAGATGAGTGTATATAAAATCTGTATATATATGTTAAAGTTCGGTTTGAAAATGTATTCATGAAAAAAGATAAACTCACATGTAGGAGAAAAGTCTTCGTTTAGAGCTTGACACAGAGTACTTGTGTTGAATTTTTAAAAGCTAATTCAGAGATAATTGATCACTTTTTAACCCAAAAAAACTTTACCGATAGTATAGCCACATAAGCTAATTTTACATATTACCAGAAGGAAGACAACAACATCTCCTCATACTTGTCATGCAGTATTACTGCATTTACATGAACAAACAGTACATTTCTTTCTGCAACTTTAAAACCAGGGCAAATGACTTATCTCCCTGTTTTTCTTAAAATCAGAATGTCTTAAATACTTAACACCAGCAGATGCAGTATCGAAGGACTTTTGAAGTTAAAAAGAAAACAATAACTGATTGTTAAATCTAAGTTTTCAGGTATTGAGACATCTTGTGATTAATGACATTGATTAGTTCAGAATCAAGTTATTTTCTTCATGAAGCACCCCTTTGGCAAGACTGATTGTTACTTAAATTAAAAATCTAGGTAAAATGAGCTGAACAGCTATTGGGCAGGATTTTTTTTTACATAGCAGGAGCCCAATAAATGTTGGCTAACTGGTGTTTGGTGTTTTATTTTTTATTTTTGTCTTTTGGTTTTTCCTATCAGTTGACTGGTACAGAGAGAATTTTCACAACTGGAAGAATGCAGAAAAGGCATTAGAACCCTTTCCAGTACAAACGCCGTTTATATAGAAAGGACAGTTTTCAGAGAAAGAAGAACATTATCCTACCTCGACAAGTGATAAGAAATCAAGTGACAGATGAAGTGTCTTCTTCATACGGAATCCGATTCTTGACTGTTTGTATAAAATTCAAACGTAAAATGCCTCAATCTTCAGGATAGTTTTAGTATTGCCATAGGATTTAAATATCAAGATTCTCTCAGAAACCTTTTCTCCTGGAAGTTTGGAACCAGGAGGGCTAGAAAGGCTTCTCTGTAGGAGGGAGGCCAGGAAGGTGGGATATCACGGTTCTGAGAACCAGGACGGGGAACAGCTCTGTGCGGATGACAACCTTGCCTGGACTGAACTCAGCTTCCCAGCCTTTCCCACTGCACAGTAAGTCTCAAGTTTTCATTCTTAGGCAATATAGGATGAGGCATATGCCCTCATTCATCTTTTTTTAACTATCTGATGTGCTATAATTGTTTTAAAATGGGAACAATGGAAGCGTATTTAGCACTTTTTAACCTTTAGTAATTTTGTAAAATTAAGTTAAATGTTTTTTAAAAGAAGGAAGTAGTTTTTATATTTTCAAAGTCAGTTTTTGAACTATATATAAGTAACTGCATATGAGAGAAATGTTATGTATTTACCATTTAAAATGATTTTATTTATAAAATATCAATATTTTAATGTATTTAATGTAGTATGTGGCTTTATTTTTAGTGAGGTATGTTTTTGTTTTGCTGTAGAAAAAATGTTATATTACTTGATTAAATATTTTTAATTCCTCTGTCTCCTAAAGACTTTAAGACGACTTGAAAAAGCAACTGACTGGATATTGCACTGAGAAAGGGAAAGGAGTCCAAGATTGTGCCCAGCCTTTCTGGCTTCCATGCATGAGTGGTGGCTTGTTTCCTCTGTGGAGTGGGTAACAAGGTCATTAACTTGGAGGTGGCTAAAGGAGGGGGATAAGAGTGGAGAAGGGCCTTGAGGAGGTCGAGATTGAGAAAAGAATAAGGAGATCCAAAGTTAGTAAGAGGATTTGCCAAACAAGAATGAAGCACAAACTGAAATTGAACCTTGTAATTCCAGAATTCTGAGAAGTATCAAAATAGATTGATCCAGAGGTGGGCAGAGTTGGAGTCAGGAGGGGCGGACGGAGCAGAAGGCTGAGAGAGTGACCAAAGTGATGCTCACTGCTCCTAGTTGTGTAGGAAAGAATGTGCCTCCTGGGGGTGGCCAGTAGCTAGAGGAAATGGAGCAGGGGAACGGGCACAAGGGTGTGGAGGTGAGAGCGTGGAGAGACAAGGAAGTTATAGGCAGAAAATGGGACCAACTGAAAGCAAGTGGTCTTTGGTGAACTTTGGTCATTGAGGGTAGATGACAAAATAAAAAACGTTTTTTCTGTGTCATTTGTTTTTGCACATATTTTTGTGTACACTTTTATTTCCAACTTCAATATACTCAGTATAGCTTCACTTTTATCATTTATCTGGTCTCAGGAGATGACCTTGACAAACATTAGGAACACATGATAATAAGCCAGTTAAAAAAACTTTATGCAAAAAGTGTAAAAAATGAATGTTCTACATCATATATCATCAGAGAAGTACAGATTAAAACAAAAATTAGATACCTTTTAGAATGGCCAAAATCTAGAACACTGACAACACCAAACGCTGGTGAGGATATGGAGCCACAGGAACTCTCATACATTGCTGGTGGGAATGCAAAATGGCACAACCACTTTGGAAGACAAAACTAAACACCCTTAGGGTGTGATCCAGCAATCACACCCCTTGGCATGTACACAAAGGACTTGAAACTTAGGTCCACACAAAAACCTGCAGATGTTTCTATTCACTTTATTTGTCATTGTCCAAACTGGGAAGCCACCCAGATGTCCTTCAGCAGGTGAATGGATAAATAAACTGATGTATCCAAACTATATGAACTGTCAAGCTGCGAAAGGACCCAGAGGAAGCTTACCTGCCTATTACTAAGTGAAAGAAGCCAATCTGAAGGGAATATGCAGAAACAGATGGTCAAAGTTAACACCTGTAACGATAAAAGAAGGAGCAAGATTGGGTAGGGTGATGGTGCTGGCTAAGGCTCTGCAGGCAGAAAGGGCAAATCCCTATGGAAAAAGGATCATGAGAATAGACCACTGGCCCTTTCAGGCTGGAAAGGACTCAATGAAGTTAACTTGCCACCAAGGAACTGGTTGGTTCTTCAAGGAATGGTGTCCTACTGGGGGCTCAGCCTTTATCTGCTGCCAGCGGGTTAGGTGTGTCACAGCGGCTGCAGCTAGACTGGCCTTGGTAAGTGAGAGTCCATGCTGGGGGCCCAAGGGCAGGTTCCATCTCCACATCTATGGTGAGTCCATTCAGGTGCCCATTGCGGCCGTTCTGGGGTAGTTGATGGTGAAGTCTAGCCACAGTTAAGTAACCTCATTTTGTCTACCTGATTGTTAAGTGTCCCTTCCACGGTGTTTGCTTTCTAGGGGCTATTAATATGTGACACATGGATCTTCACACTCCCCAGCCACCCCTATGTGCCCGTTCACATGCTTCCAAGCCTGCCTTATCTCTGCCTCTCTAGTCTTTTCCTTCCAGGTCACCAGACAGGCTAACCACGCCATTCACCGCTGCCCATGCGTTCATGTATTTCTCACTTCCAGTCACCTCTGAATAAAGCGCAGGAACAGGGACACTGCTCAAAGCTCTGCCCTTTGACAGATTGCTCCTTTGCACATTTTTTAAAGCCAGCCCTATGTGGCTTTAATGCAGCCACCATCTGTTTGTGGCTTGTACACACATTACAAGCCAACTGGTCTATAACATTGGGTTTTTTTCTCTCCATTCAGGAGGTTGTACAGGCCCTCCATGGCCACAGGTAGAAGCTGAGAGAGGTAGGACCAAGCTGATGACATGTGAGTCTAGCCTACGTACTCCTGCAGCTTCCTGGTGCTCTGCAGGCAGAAAGGGCAAATCCGTATGGAAAAAGGATCATGAGAATAGACCACTGGCCCTTTCAGGCTGGAAAGGACTCAATGAAGTTAACTTGCCACCAAGGAACTGGTTGGCAGGCTCAATCCCAATAGGCCATTTTTGTCTCACCATGCACTGCTACTGGGCCCACCTGATTTTATGGCTAGTTGGGTGCTTGAGTTTCTCAGGGCTGCTGTAACAAAATAGCACAGACCAGGTAGCTTAAACAACAGAAATTTATTTTCTTGTACTTCTGGAGGCTGGATGTCTGTGATCAAGTCGTTGGCAGGGTCGGTTTCTTCTGGAGCCTCTCTGTTTGGCTTATGGAAAGCTTCCTTCTCCCTGTCTTCATGCAGTCTTCTCTCCGTGCATGCTGATGTCTCTGTCTAAATTCATTCTTGGAAGGACACTGCTCACCCCAGTGTGTTTAGGATTGGATTGGATTAGTCCCAACCTCCCCTTGACCTCATTTTAATTTAATTTTCTCTTTAAAAACCTTATTTCCAAATGCAGTCACATTCTGAAGTATTAGAGCTTAAGATTCCAACACATGAATTTGAAGAGGCAGGGTGGGGACTCAAGTCAGTCCATAACAGTGAGTCCAAAAGAACTCAGCATGTGATGGACAGTTCTGGAAACATGGTCACTTGAAGTCCTCTAGTCAAGTATTTTGTTTCTATCAAAGCCCAGTAATCTGCCAGGAGCTGTTTTCTAAAATCATAAAGTTCTCCACTGTCATTGGAAAGTTTCCCCCGCAGAACACTAAGCGCATGCATCGTGACTCTCCCACTGGGGCTCACCATAAGATCTATGCTGCATCTCTGTCTGTGACTGACATCTCCACTACCATAGGGCCCGCCAGAGCATATGGCCTGAGTGGCAGGGAAACTTGCCCCGCCCCCCAGCTTGGCCCTGCTTCAGGGTCCTTTCCCTGCCCCAGACAGCCTCTGTGTCACTCAGTTTATGGGCTGGAGCCTTATCCCTAAGTGTGGAATGCGTTGCCTCCAGCATCCACAGAGGCCTGCCAGCCACGGTGCTTCCTTCTTTGTGGAAGGGGATGCAACATGTGGCAATTTGATTTTCCCCACGGGACTCCCAAGAACTTACTGAAATGGCAAGTCCTGGGTCTTCATGGGGGTTTATCTTCCACTTTCTAGGCTGCATGTGAATTACCAAAGCCAACTGTGTGCTGACCCCTGAGGGGCATGAGACCATCAGTTTAATAGATCAACGTGACCTTCTGCGGGATGGTCAGAAGACCTGAGTCTCTTCAGAGAGCAGAACCAGAAACGTAGCCCTGGGGCGAAACCATAAATGCACCTGGTTTCTGATGTTTGTTTTTGATCGAGTTCAGAACACATTCACCAGACCCATGGCTGGATACCATGTTCCAGGGACCTTGTAATCTGCTCTGGCAAAAGAGATGCCACAGGGGCATGGCCACTGCCATGGGAGCCACTACTTGATTGAGGGGGGCAGCTGCCTGTGGCCTTTCTCCAGAATCCAGCCAGGCTGGTGAATTAAATGGAGACTTGACGGGGACCCACCCTGTGTCCTTGCCACCCTTCAGGATGGTACTCATCTTCATGGGCAGATCCAAGTTGTGATTTTTTTTTTTAAAGATTGTATTTATTTATTTGTTTATTTATTTAGTTATTTATTTGAGAGAGACAGAGAGAGTGCAAGTGGGTGGAGGGAGAGGGACAAACAGATTCCAAACTGAGCGCAGAGCCTGAGGTGGGGCTCTGTCCCATGACCCTGAGCCAAAATCAAGAGTTGGACACTCAACCACCTGAGCCATCCAGGTGCCCTGCGATTTTGTTTTTGATGTACTATCTCTACCAGAGGAGGAGTTCAGGATGTTTGGGAAAACCTGGGCCCCTGACACTTGGGATAGGAATATCTGGGTGGATACCCATAAAGATTTTTGACTCTTTGAAGGTTTTTAACTATTACATTCTGAGTTTGGTCTTAGGTTTTTTTCTGTTCTCCTATTTTAAGAAATAGAGTCCCTACCCTTAAATGTCATGTAATCGTTAACTGCCCTCAGCTTTTCTTCACCCACCATGGGGCAGCCATGTGACTCCATAACAAGCAGCAAATTCCATTGTCCTCATATGACATGCTCCCTGAGCATTTCAAATGTCCGAATTAATTACTGCAAATTTTGGCACTTGGGTCGCCACCTTGCGCGAGGGATGATTTGTGCCTCATGCCCCACTCAGGATGGCATTCTCATGACCAGTCAGGCAGACAGTGATCTGTTCCCAAACCTTACTTACCACTTGCTTTGTGGCACCAACTCTTGGGACCATCTGTGTCAGTTGGATCCTCTGGGGACTGGGCACTGAGACAGAGGTAGGGGTACAAGCAGTTTATAGGGAGGAGGGAAAATTCTTGTGAAAGATGTGCAAGGGAGGATCTTATCTGGACAGGAGGGATCCCCAGGCTGCAGTGCAGGTCAGACAACTGCGAAAAGGAAGGGGAGAGGAAGGGTGGGCAGGGAGAGCCTCAGCCCATGAGGCAGATCTGCCCAAACAAATGACAGCCAACTGGGGAGCTCCAGAGCAAAGATGGTTTGGCAAAGAAGTCTCCAACTGGGCAGAAATGCCACATGCCCCATTGTGCTCAGTCATGGGCTTGTGGCTGCTCTGAAAGAACTGAAGTGGATCCTGATGACTCTGCAGACAGAGGATGTCTGCTAACTGCTCTCTTGGCCGCTGAATGGCGAGCTCCATTTTGAAGGGAAATCCAAGTGGTGAGGCCTCCATAGCTGCTGTTGGGCCCTTTGCCATGGGGAAGGGGTCTTGGGTCTTATCAGCTCCCTGCAGACTTTCAACCAAACCACTTGCTTTTAAGCCAGTGCCTTACCCACTGCCCCCTCCCCTGTGCTCACCTTCCATGGCTCCCGTGCTCTGGGAGCCTTTTGTGAGGTCTGCCATGCCAACCTAGAGGTTCTGAGAAAACCTTCGGCAGATGACATTTGAGTTGTGCTGTGTTGTAGAGGATGAACCACAATCCGTAGAGGGAACTGGGGAGGATCCCAGGCAGAAGGGCCGGCCCTGTGGAAACATCAAGCTACGAATGATACTGTGTGTTCCTGGAACAGAGATCCTCCGTCGTCCTCTAGAACGGACATCCTCACAACATGTCGCTAGTCCAGCAGGGACATCAAAACTGTGATGCGATACCACTGAATATCTTTTAGGATGGTATTTGAAAAAAGCAGAAAATAATAAGTAAATAGTAAACATTATAAATAAATAAATAAATAAATAAATAAATGTTGGCAAGGATGTGGAGAATCCTTGCTGGTGGGAATGTAAAATGGGTCAGCCGCTGTGGAAAACAGGACAGCAAGTCCTCCAAAAGTCAGACATGGAATTACCATGTGACCCAGCAATTCTGCTTCTAGGTATGTG